CTCATTTCTGTCTGGAATAGCCAGGTCTGAGCTGCTCTGGAGGAAAGTTCATTCTGTGCTGAACAGACAGAATGTTCCCAAGACAAATGTCCCAGTCCCCAGCTGTGGCTGAGCTTTCCTTCCTGGGCAGGTGAGCTGGGCTGCAGGAGAAGTGCCCCCCACTCCCCCAGCACCACCCAGGGAGGTTGAATATAAACTCAGAAGGGAAGGAGCTGCTCAGCTTCCCTGGATCACAGCTGGATCCAGCTTGTTGCTGAGACTAAACTCCTCCACAAGGTGAATTTCTCCTTGAGAGCAGGATCTTCACAACCCAGGGTCAAATTTCCTCCCAGTCCAGAAGGCAAAGGTGTCAGCAAGTGAAAAAAAACAAAGAGGGGGACCACAAAAGAATAAAACCCAAGAGGGGTGATTCTGTGCATGAACACTTTCTTTCTGAGCTTAGCTAAGGGGTTTAGAGCTGCAGTTTGCTAAGAGAGGGTGGAGAAGCCAAGGTAAGCAAAGGATTTACAGCACTACAAAGTCTTCCTCGTTCTTAGTTACTGCTGACCTAAAAAACACAGGTAAATACACTGCAGGAAAACTCCTTGGGGTGGTAAATCATTGATGGGAGACATTTGCTGGTGGACATTTTGCCTGTGGATCAAATAACATTTACATCTTAAATTTAATATTATTTCCCCAGGAAGGATGTTGAGGACTGTTTACTGAGTGTACAACCCTTCTTTTGCTAGAGGAGAGAAAACTAACTCTGGCTCTTCTGACAAGACCAAAGAAACCCCCCCAGGTCCTGACCTCATTTATAGCAAAATATATCAAAATTTCATGTTTATGGAGCAAATCCAACTTCCCAGCAGCACGTAACGAGAGAGAACCAGGTCTTTTTATAGTTCCAATTTCCAACTCCTGCAGCAGTGCTGTGATGTAGATCCAGGCCACAAACACCCCTCTGGCATCACTTGTGAGCATATTCATCAGATGGCCCCTTTCCAAAGGGCTGCTGGCCCAGGTTCTCCAGCCTGTGGTCATTCACCCTTCCTGTCCTTCACCTTCCAGGCCATTCACTCAAGAGCTGGACTCGATGACCCTTGTGGTCCCTTCCAACTCGGAGTATTCCGTCACTCTGCTCAGCCTGTGGATCCTGGAGAGCTCAGAGCTTCAGGCAAGAGGCTTTGGAGAACAGTTTCACCTGCCAGGCAGTGTCTGACCTCAACAGCCAGGGCTCCAAAAGGCCTTTGACCCACACAACATGTTGACTTCCCTGTTGACCACAACCCAGTTATCGCCTCCCCGGCGCCGCTCGCAAAGGTCAGACCCGGGCACTTGGGCTCTCCAGGAGGGTTTAGCAAGAGCTGGGGCTCATGGAAACCACCAGCTTTCCTCCCTGCCACGTTCTTCACTTTATCTGTGTTTGCCTTGGCACATTTGCTCCAAGAAATAGGCTTATTAGCAGCTTTTCTCCCCACGGGAATACCGCAGGTGTACACTTGGTGTGGTTTTGGAATGGCAAAATAAAGAGCTGTTTGCTTGGTGGCTCCAAGGTGTGGGAGTGATGGGCTGCAGCAGATTTCCCACAGGGAACTGTGCATACTTGGTGGTATTTTGGGCTTTGATTTGCCAGAACTTCCACTGGCTGACAGATGGGTGAGGGGGAGATGCGGAATCGATGCCTATTGCTTTTGGGAGATAGAAGTGGAATTTCCAGGTCTCTCTTTTCCAGGGTCTAATACTTCCAAGTCAGTAAAAGGCAATAAGGAAAACGAAGTTTCTTCCTCCTCACTTCAGGTTTCTTCCTCCTCCTCCTCACTTCAGGTTTCTTCCTCCTCCTCACTTCAGGTTTCTTCCTCCTCCTCACTTCAGGTTTCTTCCTCCTCCTCACTTCAGGTTTCTTCCAGTTCTTCTAATGACTGCACACCTGACTTACTCAAAGACAAGATCTCATCCTGCTTAATTTCTTCCCTTGGGCATCAGTTCCCTGCTGAAAATATGACACCACTTTCCCATGAAACACTGAATTCTTCCAAGATTGTCACACAGTTCTCACAAAAACAGACACAGGTGATTCTCACTGCATGTGAACCTCACTGGGGACTCCCAGCAGCCCTCTGCTTATTTGGGGGTCACAGTTAAAAAAAATACATTTTGGAGATGTTTCTGTTTGATTCAAAATATTTTCAGCAATGAAAGAGTTGCATAACAGTGCTGCAAGTTTAAAACTGCTTGTGAATTTATCTGAGATCAATGTACCACTGGGTGTTGTAGAGAGAAAAGTCCTGCTCTTGGTCATTAGGTTTTACAACCTGTTCTATTTTTTAACAGGAACCTTGAGGAAGAAGAGTTCTATAGGCTATAGGTTTTGCAAGATGATCTGCATTTTTACACACAGTTTTAATATGTTTCCCATCGTGGTTCACACACAAGTGCTCAGCACAGCAGATCAGCTGGACTGATGAATCACCAGCTCTGTGTAAGATGGGACAGGGTCCATCCCATGAAGATAGGAGCTATCTCAGGAGTTATAAAGTTATTTATGGAAGCTGCGAGGTAAAAGATAAAATTAGAAGAACTTGTTAATTGAACACTTCAACGTTTCCAGAGACAAAACTACTGTGTTAAAGATAAACCAGCTTGGGGCTGCAGCTTGTCCTCCTGTCACTGTCTGTGAGGACCAAAGTCTTTGGGCATTTCCCTGGCTCCAGAGTGATTCCCTGCTGTTCTGAGTCAGGGGACTGTGTGCTCAGAAATGAAGTATTTGCTCTTTCAGGCTTCTGACAACCATAAATTCAGTGTGTAATCAAGGAATAAACCAAGGATAAAGGTGGCCTCCAGAGCTCAGCACCAAAGAACTCCCTCCACCTGCCACTGCTGGTGTCTCCCAGTTCCTCTGGAAGTGGCAGCCCCAGTTTCATCCCTGTTGCCCTGTGGGGAACGACTCCTTTTACCTGTGGTAGAGACACAACACCCTCCTGGGCAGTGCTGGGGCCCTAAGGAAAGGGTCAGCACTGCTTTCACTCAGCTCAGGGGCTCACCCGGGGATGGAACTTCCAAAAGCAACTTGGCTTTTTTTGCCAGATTTTCTAGTTTTCCCTCTGTCAGGTAGAACTTTGGAATATTCACATTTATTCAGTTGAGCTGCAGAGAGAAGAGAGAAAAATCAGCTGATAAGATCCAACATAATCCTTGTACTTCCACGGACACACCACATCATCCACAGCTCCAGGACTTCACACACAATGCAAAGAGATTAAGAAGCATTTTCTCCTTCATTTATAGTTTTTTAGTTCTGGGGAAAAAAAAAAAAAAGATTTCCCATTTTGACTATAAATTAAAAAACCTCTTTACTTCAGGCTTTTATTCCTCCCATAGGAGCACAAGTAATAGGTTATTCTCTCCTCTCATGTTTGAGAACAAGGCTATAGAAACATTTAATTCAGGCTCACACCCAGGAATTTTGGAGTGACAATGCTGTAGTCTTTCAGCAGTGGTGTGAAAACAGCTTCTTGGGAACCTTCATGCCCTGTACAGGATAAAACCATGGTATTAAAGCCAGAAACTTTCAAAAGAATATTTCCTGGAGGTGGAACTGAGAGATCTCTGTACTACATGAAGGCAACCTTGACTTTCACTGGAGCATTTTCAAAACCAGCCTTAATTTCAGAGTCCAGTTTCTGGTGTTTAGCTCTGCCTTCAGTAAATGTCCAACATCATTGCCTCTGAGGGGAGCTAAGGATGTTCAGAGGCTAAAATTGGGACTCCAGAGCACAAACCCTCTTTATCTTTCTATCTTGGTTCTGCAGCAAGTTCTTCACCTGGCCATGCACAGCTGCCATCTCAACTTCACCTGAAAGCACACAGAAGGCAGGATTCAAGGGCAGGAAGCTACAAAGAGCCTTGGCAATGAAACAAGAGACATGTCAGCTATGCAAAGATGATCCCCATCGAAAAATACTCCAAATCTGGGAGCATTTTAATTGAGAACTATGATTCAGGACCTCAAAAATCCTCATTGGGCATATATATATATATGCCTTCATTAGATATTTTCATTGGACCTTTCATTCTCACAGCATTTAAAGGTTCCATATCTGGGTGTGTGAGAGGAAGGATTAACCAGGTGATGAGCACAGCCAGGGGCAGCCTCTGGAAGTGCCACAAAACACCATCAGGAACAGCCTCTGGCACAGGGAACACACTGGGAGGCTTGATCACAGTTCCACACTGGAACACAGGATCAGCAGGAGCTCGTTTCAGACCTCAGAGTCACACACAGCACTAAACCAAAGAGGTTCCTTCCCAGGGACTCCAACCAGCCCTTCCTTCCCAGGGATCCCAACCACCCCTTCCTTCCCAGGGATCCCAACCAGCCCTTCCTTCCCAGGGATCCCAACCAGCCCTTCCTTCCCAGGGATCCCAACCACCCCTTCCTTCCCAGGGATCCCAACCACCCCTTCCTTCCCAGGGATCCCAACCACCCCTTTCTTCTCACAGCCACAGCAGCATTTGATGCTCTCCAAGAGAGGCTGAACTTTACACTGAGTGTTGAAAAGGGCCTTTTCATTTTCTGTTGAGAGAGCCACAAACCAAGGCAACCAAAGAAACACCAACAGCCCTGTGACCCCTCTCCAAACACCAAATTCAGTGACCCTGCACCCCCTCCCCAGCAGCTCCAGGGAACCAGCACCCTTTACACGTGAGGAGACTTCACAGCTACTCCAGACACTGCTGGACTTCCAGGAGATTCCATAAAACACTATAAAATGAGTTGTCAACAGTAAATACTTCAGAAGCAGAATAAACACGATGATTGCACCACTCCTCCTTTTATTTGTTCTCCCCAAGGGACTATCAACTGAGCATGAAGAGATACACTGGGAAACTCTGCTCTTTTCATTGATACTCTTTGGTTTTGTGGGGGAAAAAAAAAAAAGACCCAAAACATTTTGAAACTGAATTGTTTACTTATAACTTAAGTGTATTTGTTAAGAAAACCACAGCGGGGGAAATAAAGAAAACATTGAGCAGAATTCCACATCATGTCTTTTTTTTCTTTTTTATTTAAAACAAAACATTTTCATTGAGAAACTGCTGCAATAAAAATGTGACAAATTGTATTTACTACTGCCTTCCACTCTGCCTTTTACAAATACAACCCCAAATCCCAGAGATAACTTTATCACCTGCTGGGTACCACGTTTCCCTGTGGATATCAGAGACAGCAAGCACTGCAGGCTCTTACCTCCATGTAGGACTGTTATAAGCATATCTGCTGATAACCTAAAATAGAAAGCAGTGAAGAGAGCAACAACAGGGGTTTTTTTTCACTACTACATTCCACAACAGGCAACCACAGTGACGTACAGGTGCTCTGCAGTGTTTGTATTTTCTGGAAGTCCCTCCCAAGTGTCAGTAAAGTACCTAAATTCTCCCAAGGTGAAGCTGCAAAGGAACTGAAACAAACCTTTTGTGTGTGGGAGAGAGCTCAGAAAACGTGGAACCAGCAAAATGAGTCGATGAGGGCCAAAAAAAAACCCCCCCTGCAGCTCCTCTGGGTCCACCAGACACACCTGCCAGTGGAAGCAAACCTGAGAGCTTCTGTCTGGCCTCCTGGGCAACCAAGTGTCCCTCTCTTCACACCCCCCCTGGTTATGCAAAGGCAGAAGGAGCAAACACAGGTCTGTGTCGAGGAACCAGGAAGGAGCAGGCTCACAAACCTCTCCACACACAAGCAAGTCAGTAAATATTGCAGTGAGAGGAGAGCAGGCTTTGCTCTGGGAGCTCAATCCCACCTGGGGGGGTTGCCAAGGGGCTGGGCTGGCTCACAGTCAGCAAACCTTGTGTTGCTGCACTTCACCCAGAGCTGAGGAATATTGTGAGGATGGAGCAGGTGATGCTGCTCCTGTTGCACAGAAACAGTGCCCCCCTCACAGCCAGGCTCTCCTGCTCTCACACAGACAGGTCAGCAGAAGCAGAACGGGAGGAAGGATGTTTGCAGTTTAATTTCAGGCTCCCAGCACTGGAGTCCAGCAGCTGCACAGATCCCTGCAGTCACCACTACAGGAATAATTTAATTGGCTTCTTTGCTCAGAAAAATCACATCTGTAGAGACCCTGAGGGTGTCTGCCAGTAGAACTTACTGAGATTAGCATGAGTGTACTGAAAACATGGATGGGCAAGGCTTAAAAGTGTGGCTCTACAATACTTGAAAAAGTCACAAACATCCTTCATATCAGAGATCACAAAAGCTGTACAGAATAAACTGATAAACTGGGGGGGTTATGCCACCTGTGGTCTTATGTTTTCTGCTTCACTGACTTAACAGTGAGAACTCTAAAATCAGTGACATCAAGAAGGCTCAGCTTCCTTCTCCAGACCACAAATTATTGATAATCCAAGAGCAGTGTGAAAGCATTTCAAGGTTAAGCAAACAGAATATGGATTACCCATTATGTATTTCGCTAAATACATCCTTAATTAGATACGAATCCATTCTGATCTTTCAGGTAAAGCAGCTCTGTCCTCAGACACACACACACTGCCCCACAGTCCACCTTCAGCCATTGCCAGGGCTAAGGTTCCTCAAGGAAGTGAGCTGGTGGCTATTCTACTGTGCAGGAGATGAAATGCTTCTGCTTCTGTGCCTTCAATCCTGTGAGCAGGGCAGCTCCTCTCCATGCCAGCAGCAGAGCTCCAGCCCTGTTTGCAGCCCCAGCAGCTCAGAGCAGGGCTGAGCTCCCCACGCTGGTTTGATGGTCGCTGTCTGCCAGAGAAATTCAGAATGAGGGCAGGGTGGGAGTGCAGAGCAGAGCACCAGGGGCTGCTGTGCCACCACAGGGTACAAATCAGGACCTACAGCCAGCACTGATCCCTGCCCAGGGGCTCCAGGGTTTGTGCACATCCATGGCACATCCAGGCCTTTGCAAACCCCCTGGATCTGAATTGCAAAATAATGCAAATGATCCACCCATAATTACACCAAACCCACACCATTATTAATTTCGAACTCCGAGCGTCACAGCCTAAAAATTCAGCAACTGCTTGAGGAAATGTTCAGTTCAGAAGAATCCTGGTTATTTTAACTCCTTATTTACTGCTGTAAGCCAGTACACATGAAGAAAACCAGCTGAACTCTCTTGTTGGTAAATTGGTTCCAAAGATCACAGATCTTGGCTGTACAACTTTCCCCAGAAACCTTTTCTGATGCTGATAAACAAATTAATAAAATTAATTCAGTGGAAGAAAGAAGGAAACAAATCCACATGTGTGAATTAGTCAAGCATTGATGTCTGCTTATTGACCTTCTGGTGACTTCCTTCTAATGACCTGCAGCAGATATTGGTGTTTATCAGGCACCAGGGGTGAGAGATAACTTCTCCACCTTGGTAATCTTCTATCCACTACAGGGAAACAGAAAATGCAGTCAGACCAAGATTTATTACCTGGATTATCAGGGTCTGAAGGTTCCTGTAGGTTCACCAAGGCTTGCTTGATCTCACACAGGGTCTTGGCAAGGGGGGAAGCTGCTACCAGGCCCTCTACCTCCAACTCAGTCAGGTAAGGCAACTGGAGATCTAAACCTTGGAGAAATGGGAAAGCTTTTAAGCCTAAAGGAAGAGGCTTTTCATGGCTGGATGGCTGCAGGAAGGAAAATATTGCACTGAGCAGAGAGAACACCCAACCAGAGGCTGTGGGGAGCACAGAACTGATGGTACAGAATCTTCCTGACCTCCCCATATTGGCATTTAATCAGTGCAATGACTCCCATTCTCCTGTCTACAGTTGGTCACTTGATATAAAGGTGTAAAGGGTCTGTAGGGATGAAAACTCCTGCACTTCTCTTACAGAGGAGGCAGAAGTGGCTCCCTTGAACTGGCACCTCAGCAAAAAACAAATACATGAAAATAAATACCAAAAATGGGAAGAAGTAATTATACATTTGCTCTCTTAGCAAACATACACACCTGTCGTACCCCAGACTTCACTGAGTCAGCCCTCTCTGTGATCTCTGAAAGCACCCATGGCACCCCCAGCTATGGCACTGCCCTTACCATGCTCTGCATGCCCAGGGAAGCTGAAAAAAGCATCCTTCCTGCTGAAGAGCTCCCACTGCTGAGGCAGCTCGTGATCCTGTGGGATAAAAAGGGCCCAAGAGTTAAAGAAATGAGTGAGAGGGAAAAACCAGCAGAAAGGTGAGAGATGGAACAACAACAGACACCTGCAACTCACCTGGCCTTGCACTCCTGATTTCCTGCCACTGGCCAGGCTGCCCAGGGAGGGCACAACCTGCACTGCATCCTGTGCTTGGACCTTGTGCTCCAGCTCTCCCTTCACAGCTCCATTCCTGCACGGAGCATTCCCAAGCAGCACTTCCAGAGCTTTCATTAACTCTCTCACCTCCTGCCATGGAGCACCTGATGAACCTGATAAACAATTCAAATGGGCTCCTGCAGAACCACCTGAAGAACTACAATTACACCCAGACCAGAACCAAGAGCAGGAGCCTTCCTTTGGAATTTTCACAAGGTGCCTCATATTGTACAACATTTCCAAATAAACATGTGTTTATCTCTTCCCGAGCTGACAGACCCTCTCCTCTCACTGAACTGAGATGAAGAGTCAGCCAGCTCTTCCAGAACAACACTGACAGACACAGCCTTGTGGGATCTCTGTGTGTATGAGCCAGCTCTTGGTTTTAACCTGTTCACTCTTACACTCCTCCTCTCCTTGCTCTGCTCTCTGGTCCTCTCACCTGGCTGGAAGGTGTTCCCACAGTGTTCATCACCCTGTTCATCACCCTCTGCTGCCCTGCTGTTGTCTGCAGGTTTGTGCCCACAAATCCTTTGCCTGGCAAAGATTTTCAGGGCATCAGGGTCCAGCGCTTGCACCATGTCCTGTTCACAGAGAGCAGCAGTGTCATACTCTGGGTTACACTCTGTTATACTCTGCTAGCAATGTTACACCTGCAATCCACCCATTCCACGTTCTGCCTCCCATATAAAAACTATTTAAACTATAGAAACTATTAATTAACCATATAAACTAACTAACTAGATAAACTATTTTAACTACATAAAACTATTTTATGCCAAAATAACACACTGAAAGGGGGAAGACACATCCCTCAATAAACTGTCACTTCAGGGGAACCATTTATCTTAACAAAAGTCACGTTTCCAAGACTCCCTTCCCTCAAATCTTTCTTCCCACTGACCACAAGGCTTTGAATCCTGTGGCTGATCCCGTTGTAAAACCCCAGCACGTCCATCCTGTGCTTTGCCAGCTGAGCTGCCACGTGCAGGTTCTGATCCTCCAGCTTGTCATAGAGGGTGCGGGCGCTGAAATCCTCCAGGACCCTCCGTGCCAAGGGCTCTCCTGAAACACAGGGGAGGGCTCACCCTGAAACACTGGCCACGGGCTTTATTTCCCACTACCTGCCCGTGGGGGACAACAGCATTTTGTGCTGAAATGGGTGAGGCAAGAGGTGGTGAGGGGGAGGATGACAGAGCGTTACTATCAGCTCCCGACTCGCCCAGAAAACTCGGGATGCTGCTGCTGCTCTCAGAGCTGTTCCCAGCACCACTTCATGCTGCCATCTGCTGTTCCCTCTGAACACCCCGAAATTCCCAAGGTGAGGTCATTCCCAGAAAGCAAACAAAGCCCAGGAGTCACGTGCCTTCGGAGAAAAGAAGGACCAACAGAAGAAGCCAAGGGAAATATTTGTAAAGATTTTGTTTTCTTTACCGGTCGTTTAAGTTTGCTACCGTTTTTAAAGGGCTTCTCGGGGCTGGCCACTTCCTCTCCTGACTCCTAAGGGAGAAACCTCCACCCCATTCCAGTCACAGGGGGGTTACACTGCCTGACTGAGGAGAACACAGGGACCCAGAATGGCAGGATGTGTGCCTGGGTGAATGTGGACACCATTCTCACACCAGAGAGTTAACACAGGACAACAAAATGGGGAGTAAGTGGGAAGAAGGCAGTTGGAGAACAGCTGGGGTTGGCCCAGCACCTCACCTGCATTGGGGGCTGTTCCTTTCTCCCCAGAAGCAGCATCTCCTCCAGAGCCTCGAGGACCAAGCATCTGATAAAACTGAAGGCTAGAGGGAGTGACAGAAGAGGGTGAAGAGCATCTCATTCTTCTCAGAGAATTCAGATACTGCAGTTATCACCAGCCCAGCTCCAGCAGAAGGACAGATTTCTTGTCCAGACTTTCATACCTACCGTGCAGAGGGGGTTTACCTGTCCTTAAGGAGGATATATTCTGGTGGGATGTGTGGCTCACCCAGGCTCCTCCAGCGTGGCTTCCAGCCCTTCAGGGGGCTGCTGGCAGGGCCAGCAGGCTGGAACACTATGGCCAGGGTTGTCAGCACCACGGTGAGGGAGCCCAGAACAAAGAGGAGGGCTGGGGAAGCAGAGAGGGATGGCAAGAAGTGAGAAACACAGAACCTACTGTGTATCCTGCCCCAAACCAACATTTAGCAGCTTTCAGGTCGATTACAGGGGCTTCTGCTTTCCCCCTTTTGGTTGGTGCATCAGGCCAGGAGCAAAGTGTTTTCTGAGGTGACCCAGCCAAGGATCACACTTGCAAGCCACACTTTCATTTCTGTCATTTACTGGCCTCTCACTGATGGACTGGTATGTGCAAAGCACTCACCCAGAAGTCTGGCTTTGAGGAAAGACCTCAACTGACCTTGTGTTTAGCCTTTAGTCAACTTTGAAATGATGTATTTAATTTCAGTTTAGTTTATCATGGAAACACTGGTGTCGCTTTCTGCTTTCCAGCCAAGGAAAACAAAGCACCCTCAATCACTTGAATTCTTGGAGCAGGGTGTGGGGTGAGACACAACTGCTCCTTCCCTCTCTCACCACTTGAGCTCCCACAGAGGCAGGTTCTTGGCAGTGAACTTTGGGGAGCTCCACAGGAGAACAGGATTAAAGCTGACAAAGCCAGTGGTTTGATGGTGTTTTCAAAGAAAATGCTTGTTTAAACACACTTCAAGAAGTACAAGAAAGGTCATAGTTAAGCCTCAAGGTTGGTGTCCCAGTGTTTTGGCTGTACCTGTGATAGCAGCCCAGTTGGGAGCCAAGTTCAGATCCTGTTGCTTCAAAACCCCATGTCTGGCCAGCTGGAACAGAGAGGAGGGCTGGAAGGGCACAGCTCTGGGGTCACAGCTCACGTTGGCTTCATTCACAGTCACAATCAGGAAGTGCTCCTGGACAGTGTTATCCCTGAAAACATATGTGCCAGACTCCAGGAAAACATGGGCAAACCTGAAAGAGAGAAGCCAAGAAGACATTGGGTTGATCCAAGCTTCCTTTGGCCTCCAGCTGTGATAATGGTAAAGACATGGATTTGAACACGTATTTGACATTTTCACTGCCAAGGACCTACTGATTCCATCTCAGACTCACTCCCAAATCCCAGGACAGCACCCAGGAGTTGGGAGTGAGTAACACATAACACATGCACTGTCATCCACAGCAGTTATTACCAGGAGAGGTTGAGGTGAGTCTCCTGGATGAGGTGGTTTAGCCTTCGGAAGGGTCCAAAATCCCAGCTGGGGTTGCTGTTATAGAGATGCTGCTTCTGATAAACAGGGTAATGGCTGGATGCACGATCTGGGAAGGGTCCAGAACAGTGTCAGCAGCTCTGACCCCCCCCAGCTGGGACAGCTGGCACTGGGCTGGCAAAGAACTGTGTTTCATTTGTAGGGCCAGTGAGTGTCAACTCATTTATTTGAGTTTAATTACTGCCCAACAAAGATTTGTGCTGCCTAAGAGAGGACACACTTCATGTCTGTTGTACAGAAATCCAACTAAAAAGTGAAAACCATGAGGTAAGTCCCTGTCAGAGCCCAGACTGCAGTTGTGGGATCCCCTGAGGGCAAGAGAGCAGGGATGGGAAGGGATGTGCTCACACAGGCAAACGTGGACTCACTGCCCTGAACGGGTCTGCACACACAGACCTGCAAAGGGAGCACAGACCCAGCAACACTCACCCTGGGAATCGATGCTGAGCTGGAAAAGGATCGTGTCTCCTGCTTCCAAACACACCACAGGGTTGGGAACCAGGGGCAAGGCCTGGGGATCTTTGGAGGAAGTCCTCTGGAATCGATGACCTTTCTGCAGCAGCTGATTTGATGGGAAATCTCCTGCCAGGCAACAGAACAAACCACAATGAATCCTGCAAAACGAGCAGCATGTGAAGACACCCAACCCTTGGCAAGGAAGAACCATTTATTTTGTGCCTGTGGGCAATTACAGCTCACAAGGCCAAATTCTGCTCTCAGCCACACCACCCTAATTGAGCAGCAAATGGAATCAGGAGCCAGCACACAGTTGCCAACAGATTTGCCTCCAAATGGGGTTTCTTTCTAGTTCTTGGAAATCCAGAATCATCCTGCAATCTTTATGTGACCCATTCCCAGGGAGCTAACCGTGCAGTCAGTGCAGTTCCTCACTGTTTAATCCCAGACAGAACAAGGTATTTCCATAATTTCTAAATAGTTTGGAGCATCTGATAATAAATTCCCACTGGGCCAACTTGAAAGGAAACAAATGGCTCAGTCTGGCTGGAATTCAGGTTCACTCTCAGGGGCTCTCAAGCCTTACCCATGAGAAATGCATCCAGAACATCTGTGCTGGAGACAATGAAACCCAGCACTCCACTGGGGCTGAACAGGACCAAATGTACCCTCTGGCTGTTCTGCACGTGCTCATCTGGGCCCAGGACATTTGCCACTTCCTATGGGAAGGAGAGGGAAACACTGGTCACTGATACAATCAACACTGGACTCAGATCCTGGTTTGTGACCAGTCTTAACTGCAGCTGTACAAGGTTCCTCTGGTGAGGTTTTTCCCCTACAGTTCAGGAATTGTCATTTCTCTGTAAAGCACCAACCCTGTAACTTCAGGACCCACGAGTCCCTTTCCCAAGCTGTGATCTTTAAGAGCTCCCTCCAGACCTGCCTGCTGAGAAAGCATTCCCTTCCCCCAGACCTACCCTCACTTCTCCTTCACCCATCCTCAGGAGCAGCTCCCTGTGGGTGCCAAATGCCAGGGAGATGCGTGGGGCTCTCAGCAGGCACAGCTGGTCACAGAGCTCCTCAGCAGAGATGTACTGCTTGCACTGACATCTGCCAAGTGGACAAAAGGCCCTGATCAGTCATGACCCCTGAGCTACAACACACTGGGGGGCAGGACAGATCCAGTATCCTACAAATTATGACAAGTGGGGCTACTCTGTGTCCATGGGAAACAGGATGGAGCAGACTATTTGACCATCCCATCAGTACTTTGCCTGCTATTCAAGGCCAAAACATGATCCCCCACTATCTGAGTTTGGTTGGTGTCTAATAGTGACCAGCTTAGTCCTGTAACAGAGCATTACACATCCCTCCCTAAAGCTCAGCTTTAAGAATACAGTTGACAGAAAGAGAGTACAATTTTAACACACTGGATTTCTGTGCAGTCCATGTCAGGAGGAGATTTTCAATACAGAAAGAGAAAAAAAAGTGGTAATCATACAACAAGAACCAGCTTCAGTGTTTCCCTGCCCAGGACAGGGGGGTTGGATATTAGGAAGAATTTCTTTCCAGAGAGGGTGCTCAGCCATTGGAATGGGCTGCCCAGGGAAGTGGTGGATTCTCCATCCCTGGAGGTTTTTAAGACAAGACTGGATGTGGCATCAGTGCCATGGGCTGGGAACCACAGTGGGGTTGGATCAAGGGTTGGACTTGATCTGGGAGGCCCCTTCCAACCCAGCTGAGTCTATGATTCCATGACTCACATGCCCAGCTCTGCGTGGATCTCTCCCCCCTCCCTCCCACAGGCAGGGGAGCAGTCGTGGCGCGCGGGGACGACGCAGCGTCGCGTGGCTGCCAGACGGACCTGCCCGGGGGCACAGAGCTCGTCCACCTGCAAACACAGCACCCACAGCACGTGGCAAACCAGGCAGCACTTCGACCAACTCACAGCATCCCCAAAATTCCCTCCCTCCCCATGTCATCAGACCTTCAACGTAAAGAGTGCCTGCAGTTCTTTGCTGGTGCTGTGTGTTGTCAGCTCGTCTAATTACTGCCCAACAAAGACTTGGGCTGTCTAACAGAGGACAAGTTTTATCTCTGTGCTACAGAAATCCAGTCAAAAAGTGAGAATCACTGACTGAAGTTCCTAAAGTAACCTTTAATAAGGTTAAAGGACAACTTGGAAAGCAAGAAAGAACACAGCAATTTGCCCTCCCATCCAAATCCCTCATGCAAGTCTGATGAAGAACTTCACATCAACCATAAGAAGGCTTAAATTCCTGCATTTGTCATCTACATGAGACAGTGCTGCTCCCCACTGCCCTGGTGTGGAAGTATCCTTTGCCTCCATGCCTTGTGAATTTAAATTTAGCCTCATAATGTCCTAGTAAAGAAATCAAGTGCCATTATCCTACAAGGAAGGGTCAAGGGTCTCAAAAAAACCCCCCCAAAAAATAGTTAAAGGACTTGCTTGTGTCTTCAGCCCAAAGCACTGCCTGGGCCAATTACTCTCCCCCTCCTGTGCATCACAAAACAATTTTGTTTTGAAGCCAAATTTTACCTGAGGTCGACAGTCCTGGTCGCTGTTGCTGTCGGGGTCTTTCCTGCCTCTCTCATCATAGTAAACATAACCTGCCTGGCAGATACAGGAGGCATCTGACTGCTGGAAAGCCCTGTTCAGCCCATGGCAGGTACAGCTGGTAGCACCTTAGAGAGAAGAGGTTGGATTTAGAGTGGTGATTGGGGTGAGGAATAAAAACTGTGCTCTCTGGAAAGGAGCAGTTCTAGTGTTCAATCCCCTTCATCAAATCCCACTGCTCATTTTAGTGACACTGCTGGAGCAGAGCTGAGGGCAGGCAGCTGGAGCCAGCCTGCCTTCAGCCCCACAGCCATCAGACATTTCCTGCAGCCCCATTTCAGCAGAGAGGCAGAAAGGCCCAGTTGCTCATTTGCAGCAGTTTTGACAAGCCCTCCATTCATCTGTACATTAAGCCCCTGGACTGGGTAAGGACTCAGTCAGTCAAGGCTGCCAAGCCCCTCTTTGTGCTTCAACATCTCAAATCCACTCAATTTGAAATGCTGGGACAGTGCTGCACACACACTGAGTAAGGCACGTGCACTCTTCACTGGGCACAGCTGCCTACCTTCCAGTTTGTCACCTTTACCCCACTTCATCATGTCCTCAGTGCCCAATTTTGGCTCAAAAGCACACCTACACTTAACACACACAAAAACTCACCAGGCTGAGAGGAAGAGGAGCTGCCACAGGGGAAACAGGCAGCCTGGGCAGGGAGGTGGTTGAAGGTGCCAGCAGGACAGGGTTGGCAATCCCCTCTGTGCTTCCCAAAGTGGCTGCTCCCGTGGGTCCCCGGGGGACAGGGCAGGGGGGCAGGTGCCAGGGAAGGGCAGTAGTGGCCACGGGGACAAGGTTGCTGGTGGTAGCTCTCACTGCCTAGAGAAAAGGCACTGCTTAGGGACCCCAACATGTGCTAAGAGAGGGGCAGAGACCACCTGCTTATCCCACTGACACACAGATATATACATATAAATCATATGTGTGTATTCATATATGTTAATCAACATTTTCCCACCTAGTTCATATTTAAATATAAACTCATATTTAAATACAAAGCTCAGTTTCTTTCTCCCAGCTCTTTCACTGGGCAAATCTGGTGGCAAATCCACGTGGGAGCCCCCAGCAGGGTTTTATAACTGCAGAGGGCTGAGAGCTCTGCCCACACAGAACTGAGGGCTCTCTGCATCCAGTCTGAGCTGCTGTTTGTTGCCCCACTGCCCCAGGTACCTGGTGGGCAGAGGAAGCCAGCGGGGCAGGGCTGGCAGGGGGCTGTGAGCAGGGGGGCACTGCGGTAGGTCCCTGCAGCACAGACCCTGCAGAACTTCTCCAAGGAGTCCCTCAGACCAGGCAGGGGCAGGGCCATGGACCCTCCTTCACATGGCACTGGGTGGGCACTGCCAGGGGGGCAGTAGTATGGAAACACACACCTGGAAGGCAAAACAAGGCAGGGAGAGGGGAGAAAGCCTCTAAAAAACAGTTTGATTTCTGGGTTCAACGACCAGTGCAAACAGAGGGCAAAATTAAAAACAGTTCTCATCTGATTCCAGGCACGAGCTGAGTAGCAGAAATCATAAATGGCCCCAGTCAGTCTTAGCAGTCACCAAACCTGTGACTGCAGTTACAAAGATTCCTTTGCTTTTGCCCAGTGCACAAAGACTGTGGTTTAGGTTCAATCCCAGGCACAATTCAGAGTTTTTAGGAAGTGAAATCTGGCTGCACCAACGCTGCAGGTACTCACAGTTGCTCAGGGTTGTTGTATGTGGAGGATCCTTCAGGGCAGTGGTACCCAGCAGGACAGACAGAGGGCTCACCTGTGAGAGCACCACAGTACAGGCCAGGCCTGCAAGGCTTGGGATTTACTGAACCTGGGGAAAAAGGGTGAACAGAGATATATTATGTGACATACCCACAACAAGAGACTCTGGGCTGGGGAGACAGGGAGCAAAGGGGCTTTATTAAGTGTCCATAAACATTACTGCTCACAAAAGGGCACAGATCTGTTGGAAACCAGTTTGCTATTTAGCAGAAAATGCTAAAACCTCAGTGCCTAGCCCTGCATGAAGATATCTACTCCTTTTCTAGGTCCACACCACTTCCTTTGGCAACCTCAGCTAAACAAGAACAGGAAGGGAGGGCTGGGAGTGGCCATGTCCTGGCAGGGCTGCTGCAAGAATGGGACCAGAGTCACTGCTAAATGTCATGGCTGTGCCTGCTGATCTGCCTTCTAGACTCAGAAATGGCTGGGAATAAAGGAAATAAAGAAAACAAAGGTCCTGTCACCTGCTGGGCATTCGTAGCCAGGTTTGCAAGGTACTCCTTGGGTGTTGGGCAGCCCTGTCTGTGCTGGGTCTGGGCAATAATATCCAGGTGAGCAGGGATCACACTCTTCCAGTGACTTTGCACCAGGCTGGGTCCTGGCAGTGCCAGCTGGACAAAGGAAAGTGTCCCCTTTACCAGGGCACCAGTACCCAGGGGGGCATGGATAATCCTCAAACCTTGCCAGACCTGTGAGGAAGAGAAAGGAGAGAAGAAGGGGAGGCTGGGTGGCCAGGAGGAGTTTTGGAGATAATTGTGGGCATGACTGACCATCTCATCTCATTTCAGAGAGCTTTGTGATCAGCTCTGGAGGTGGGGAAGGGCTGGTTTTCCCCTGGCACTGACCTGGCAGGGGGCAGTGGTACCCTGGAGGGCAGGGCTGGCAGTCAGACAGGCTCCGAGCCCCCGGCTGCCCACGGAACGTCTGGGGAGGGCACTGCTGGGGTGCCAGGGGGCTGCCCTGCTCACTGCCATTGCCCCCAGGACAGTAGTGTCCTGATGGGCACGGGTGGGCCTCTGAGTCCCCTGACAAACAGAAAGCAAGGATTTCAAGAGCCATTTTCAACAGGATTGGAACACCTCTGTGACCTGCTGGGTCCTCCCAAAGCTACTGCACAGTCTGTGCACAATCCACCTCCACCACCCGAGCCCCTCTTCTGACAGGGATATTTGGAGACTGGTTGTGATCTCAGGCTCTCCAACATTTCCTATGGTTGCTGGAACAGCATGTTATATTAACACTGTTAAATACCTCCTTCCTCTGCAGACACTAGAACTCATCACTAGAGAGTCCCACTGCCAGGACTGTCCCAAAATGCCATGTCTGACCTCAAATCCAGCCTCACCAGGTTCAGGGACACACACAACTCTTTTAAAAAGCAATTCCTATCCCTCCCCCTCAGGGTTTATCCCCCAGTTGCAACCTGCTTTGCACCAGCGTCCCGGTGGACAGGGCAGGCAATCCTCCCTCCTCACAGCCCCTGGAAGATCTCTAAGGGTGTTGGCAGGACATGGTATGGGCACCTCAGATCCCTCCAGGCAGTAGAAACCTGCAGAAAGGGATGGGAAAGAGATAAAAGTAAAATATGCAAGTCACAGAACCACACAGGTTGGAAAAGATCTCTGAGATCATCGAGTCCAACCCATGACCCAACACCACCCTGTCAACTAGACCATGGCACTGAGTCCTCCAATGACAAAAATGTTTGAGCAAGAACCTGCTGTTGTTGCAGAATGAACATTTACACAGCTGCTGGGAGGCTGCTGTGCACACAGAAAGCCAGGCCAAAAGCCTTCAAACTCTTCTGGAGGAGCAGTTCAGCACCATAAATTCAAGGTGCCTTTTTGGTCAGGCACACAAATTGGTCCAAAAGATGGAAAAACAGAAGAAACCAACAAGCAACGACAATTTAAAAGAAGGGATTGCAGTATATCACGCAAGATAACGTGTTTTCCAGCTGGTTAGAAGCAAGCCAATAATTCTATACCCTAAATAGCACTGAGGTCCTGACTCACCTGCAGGACACAGCCCTGCACACACTTGGCCCCAGCGACACCCGGCCAGGAAGCGCCAGGAGAAGCTGTGGCCCTGGGGAGCAGCCTGGGAGCTCCCAGCCAGGCAGAAGTATCCAGCAGCACATTTCCCCTCCAGCTGCCCGTGCCTGGAGCAGAGAGAACAGCAAGAGTCCACACACAACCCACTGCTGCTGAGTCGGGGCAGAGGCAGAGCAAGTGTTGGTGCAGTGAACTCTGCAATGAAAAATAACTTCTTACATTGATAGGAGAGACAAAACAGCCCCTTTTTTTCCATATGCAGGTGACTAGAGTGAGCCAGACACTTCTGAGTTCAAATTCCATAGACATGAACTGCTTTAGATGAATTTGTGGATGATTTTCCACCACACTGATCTTTCTGCATTAATTCTACATTTCCATAAATGCTACCCCTACCATCTCTCTTCCAGATGCTTCCCTGTACCACGACAGTGATGTCAGACTGCTTTGAGATGCCTCCCAAAGTTCACAGATCCAACAGCTCTGTACCCAAAAGCTGTGTCTGAGCTTGTATTTCCTACTTTGAATGAGAGAGATGTGGTGGAGAAGCCAGGAGGAACTTAGCACCCACTTACCAGCACCAACCAAGGATCTCAAAGGCAAAGTGAAAAACAAGCCAGAGCGAAATGATTCATAACCTGCAGTAGTGACCAGGTAAGCAAGGCAGACATTCCTTCTCATTCCAGAGGCCAGTCATGTTTCCAGGAGTGAAGGTGCCCTCAGGACACGTGAGAGGAACTCGTGTGCCTGGAAAGGAGACCACAGAGACAATAACAAACCTCAGGGAGGTTGTTGTGGTCTGACAAGGCTCTTGACCTGGAGTAGAGCGTGACAAATGACTCCCAGGACACGCTGGCTCGTTGCCACCTCCTTGTCATCTGGCCTACAGGGATTCAACCATGAGGGTTGTACATCTCTGGGATCACAGTGAGGCACACAACACCTGAACCCTTGGCATGCAAGTTCCAGTGCACCTGTGGGACAGTACGAATGAGGTGGGCAGCGCTTGGGGTCTCCTGTCACCAGGTCCTGGCAGTAGAACCCTCTCTGGCAGGGGATGCAGGATGCAGAGCCTGTGGCTGGCTGGTACTCTCCAGCAGGGCATGGTGTTGGCTGGGCTGTCCCTGACAGGCAGAAGTGACCCTGCAAGGACAGAGGAGGGAGAGGATTTCATGAAGGTGATGCCAAACACTGGGGCTGTGTCATTAAACTTCGAGCAACACTCTGTGGGGATGCAATCAATGTGTCAATGAGGGGGGTGTGACCCCTGGCCACTGTGGGAACTGCCCAGAGCTGAGTCCCCCCCTTCCCTCACCCCCTCAGCAGTACCTTGGGGCAGAGCAACGCTGTGGGGCTGACAGAGCTGGAGTTTGCTGGGCAGTAAAAGCCCTCAGAACAAGGTCCTGTTGGAGAACTCAGCCCAGCAGCAGCACAGAAGGAGCCGGGGTAGCAGGGCACACAGCTCTGGGGGGAGGCACCACCTGAGGGCAAACCAAAAACCAGGGCCAGCCAGAGGGGGAGGAGGAAGAACACCCAGCACAGAACAGCATCAGCAGCACTGACCTGAGCTGGGAACACACGGGCACCACCAGGCCTGGCTGAGGGTGCCAACACCCTGCTGTGGCCAAGGGGCAGCTGCTGAGCCATGCCAGACCCTGGGGGTTCACACTCACCCGTGGCATTGTTCAGGGTCCCAGCTGGGCAGGCAACGGGGAAATGGGTTCCCTCTGGGCAGTAGTGCCCGGGTGGGCAGGGCCCACTGAGAGGGAAGGCAGGTGTCCCACGTGGAGTGGCATCAGTGGCTCCTCCTGCACAGTAGTACCCAGCTGAGCACAGACCTGCCAGGGCAGAACAGAGAGGGTGGCATCTCCTCAAACCCTCAGAAATAGGCAGATAACTCAGAGAAGAGAAGCCAAATCCCATCCTCCTATTTTATCACTGCTTGAAACCCTGGGCAGTTCACCTTTGGTTTGCCTTTCCTCCTTCTCATTAACCTTTGGTCTCTATCACTTCCTTTCTTTACCTGCTCTGACCTCATCTAGCATTTGCTTATCTTATCAGTTCTCTAACTAGTTCCCTGTCATTTGTTTCCTGTGGGAAGAGTCCTGCCTCTCTTCTTTCCAGGCATCCAACCTTGGCATTTTGCCCCAGCCACAATCCCTCTGTGCTTAAATGGGAGGGGAAGTGTTTAAGAGGACAGAAAGAGTAGCAATAAAAGTGTTAAAGCAAAGGAAGAGAAAGCAGAAAAAAAAAACAAAGGGAGAGAAGGAAAAGCAATGCACTAACATCCAAAATAACATCCAAAATAAATGCTCAGTGAAAAAAATGAGACAGGGAAAAAGAAGCGGCTGATAGGCACAGGGTGAAGGGTGACAGGCACAGGGTGAAGGGTGCCCTCCAATAGCCTTTACTCTGTTCATGCAGATATTTTCCAATTCCCTGCATCCTGAATATCCCACCCCTGTGCTGTGGGGTGGGTTATTAACCAAACTCACCATCGGGTTCCCAGTTGGCCTCTCCCCTGCAGTACCTCCCCACTGGGCACAGCCTGCAGGCAGTGGGGGCCAGTGCCCCCTCCAAGGTGTTCAGTGTCCCCTCGGGACATGGCAGTGGGGCAGCAGTTCCAGCTGGGCAGTAGTAACCTGCACATGGAGGGGGGAATGAACACAGGAGAGAGAGGTGGGGATGCTGAGCAAACCCCCCATTCCCTGAAGGAACCCCTGCTCTGGCCCAGGCAGGAGGATTTCCTGCAGGTCTCCATCCCACCTCCTCCCATCCATGTTTGGGGTTTTCCTGCACACCTGAGCCTCACCTCTGGGGCAGGTGAGGGGCTCCACAGTGGCAGCACTTGCACAGGCCATTCCAGGCGGGCAGGGCAGGCAGGTCCCTGCCCCGGGCACGGGGCTGAAGGTGCCAGGCTCACACGGCAGCTCCAGCCCGGTGCCCGCGGGGCAGTAGAAGCCTCTGGGACATCTGTACCCATGGATCCCATCAGAAGGGCAGGGAGCAGAGTTTCCTTCCAGGCAAACATACCTGGAAGAGAGAGAATTTGGACTGAACCAGCTCACAGCCCCACTCAGAGGCATTAAATAGGGGAGACATCCCTTGGAAATGCATCCTGTTTCAGTTTGGCTGACAACTCCCCACCACAACTGTAATTTGGTGCCCACCTGAAAATCCTGGTAAAAGGCTCTTTTTTTTTTTTTTTTTTTACACTAAGCTGCCTAGAAAGTGTTCTCATTCTAGAAGGAAAAGTCTTTGAAAACTAAAGTATTTTTACTTCAAAACACAGGGCCCAAGTGTTCGGTTCCTGCTGCCTTTGCTGAGCCTCTTTTTATCCCCAGTCCTTTTGCAGGCCTCTGCTTTAATGCCATCAGTGACTCTTCCCTTTACCACTTCCCTCCCACGCCCTCACTTCAAGTAAAGATGAGGAAATACAAAAATTACAATGGTTCTGAGAGCTGAGCAACAAGGAAACGAGAGCTGTGATCCCATCATCTGCTGCAGACAGGGATTCAAACCATGTCGTGTCTGAAGAAGAAACAATTCCTAGTCCTTGAGGAAAAGGAACAGCACTGAAGGAAAGACCAGCAAAGCTGCCTTTTTTTTTTTTTTTTCCTGGAAACAAGATCTATTCAGACTGAATAGCAGGTTATGGGCAGTGCTGGATGTTCCATGGCAGAGGTGTTGAAAAGCAACCTGGGCACAGCGACTTCAGATTTTGGAAGTCGAGGGTCATTTATAGACATGTGATATTCATTGTCATCCAGCTCACAAACATCAATCCCTGCTGTTACAGCCAGGCTACGACATCTTTCTGGGGTTAAAGGATTTTTGGGGAACATTTAAAATTTGAACAGGATGCGGTAAATCCCTCTTACTCCCAAGAAATCTGGTTTGGTGGCTCATTATTTTTAGCCCTTCCAAATGTAGCCCTCACTCATATTCTGGGCTTAGCTTCGACTTCTAGACAAATTTAATTGTGATTTTCTCCATTAGATTCAAGAGCCAGCTGTTAGTAGAAATCCTTCCCCAGGAAATCTTGTTACATTGCACTGAAATCACTTCTAAGACTCTCTTTCACATATAAAATCGAGTTTCTGTAGCCTCTTGCCATGAGGAATGTCCTGAGATGGACAGATATTGTTCAGGCTGGAAATGGTACCTTGTCCCTGATTCTTGCACCACCTTGTGGGAGAAGGGAACACGAGGGAAAAAAATGTAAAATTCTCAGCAAGGGTGATTATGAGGCTAAATAAGGGATTTGCAATAGTAATTTATCTGTAATGCTAATTTTTGAAGCATTAATTTTTTTGCTGAAAACAGTGGAAAACCATGGATAAGCCTGGGGTGGAATGTCAGGCAAACTGAGGGAAGAGGAAAGGCCCTGAAACATCTACTGAGCTCACTAAGGAGATGCAATATCCCAAGCAAAGGGGTAAGAAAAGCCCAGGATCTGCTGGTTTGGGTGTCCCTGAGCTGTAACACACAGCATGGCTGTGCTCTGTCACTGACAGGAGCTGGTCTCACACACCCTGGGTCACACAGCGAGGTCTGGGCCAGCTCAGACAGCCCCGTGCCACTGCAGTAGTGCCCAGCTGGGCAGGGCTGGCACTGCTCCTCTGCCTCCAGGCCCACCGAGGGGGAGAAGGATCCAGGAGGACACGGCACAGGGTACCCCGTGCCCCTGGGGCAGAAATGTCCCGTGGGACAGATGTCATTGCCAGGCAGAGCCAGGCTGGAGGATTCCACCTGCACCAGAAAAAAACACAGAGAAAAACTGCCGTGAAAAGGAGATTTAGCACAGTGTACACAGAGACAGCTCTGGGGAGGGCACACAGGAGCTGAGTCCTACAAGTCTGCTGCCTCTGAATTAAAACAAAGACCATGGCTGGCATAAAAAGGGCCTTGGATGCTGAGGTGTGGCTATGCCAGCCCTGATGCCAACTTTGGGAGGAGATATTAGACCACATGCTCCAGGGCAATGTACAGAAACACAGGTCTGGCCAGAATTTATCCGTGGGCAGCAACATATTCCAGCTGACACCACGAGCAGCTGAGCAGCTCTCAGGGGCAGCAGGAAGAGGCATGAGCAGCCTCATGAAGAGCAGGGATGCTTGGAAAATATGACAGCAGAAGCCAGGAGGATGTGACAGCCCAGTCCCTGCCCCCAGGTCAGTGGGGTTGCTGTGCTGCTGCCTGGCACTCACCCTGTGTTTGAAGGGGGCTGGGCTGACAGCTCCCTTGGCACAGTGATAACCTGGATAGCAAAATCCAGAGGGCTGGGACAGACCTGGGGCTGAGCAATACATGCCTAAAACAAACAGAAAACAGCCTCAGTGAGAGGAGCTGCACAGAACATCATAACTTAAAAGGAGAACTCATGCTGCCCTCCCCCTTCCCAGGTACATCCCCAGGGTGTCCTGTGCCCGGTCCCTACTCACCTGCTGGGCAGGGCTCACAGTCAGACTCACGAGTGGCACCAGTCCTGGGGCCAAAGGTGCCCTTTGGACACGGATGTTGTGTGCTGAGGTTGGTCCCTGGCAGACAGAAGTGCCCAGCAGGGCACAGCTCAGGAGTGTGTGCTCCAGGACCTGGGGTACAAAGAACAGCACCTTGCTCAGGTCACAGACAACGTGCTTCTTTATCAACATCTATCTCTATCTCTATCCTATCTATCTCTAATCCCCTACTCCTCCCTATTCTGGTCATCCAGACACAGAAAAGCAGATCCCGTGGGGCAGGAGAAGCCTTGGGGATAGTGATGAGGAACAGGAGTAACTCCAGTCTGGCAGGGGAACAGTAACAGCAGAACATGGTCCTTCAGAAGTGGTTTTGCCCAGATCACACACAGTGCAAACCCCTGTCTCCTGGAATCATGATCTCCTTCATCATATACCCCTAAAAAGCACCAGAAAGTACTTATTCTCTCAAGTTCAGCCTCAGGCAAAGAACATCTTAGTGCACAGGTAAGTCAGTTCTGAATTAAATCCCTGGGGAAAACAGGGGGTTTTCAGTTAAAATGCTCAGCTGGGATTCTGGGGCTCCCAGTTGTGGTTCCAGTTCTGCTGAAACTCGTGTTTTATCTCAGCCAAGTCATTTCTTCCTCGTTGTTTCAGTTCCCCACCTGAGAAAGGAAAAGCCCCTTTTGCCTCACCGAAGGTGATGGATGAATTTGTAACTGTCACAGTGTGACCACAAATATTTCAGTGCTGAGGGGAGCAAATCAACACCTTGTGGAGGCAGATGGTGAGAACCTCTGAGAAGGAGCAGCTGTCTCAGAGCACAGGCTCTGGCTGCTGGCCAGACCAGGAGCTGCTTGCCAGGAGGGTTTGTTTCCCTGAGAGGCCAAAGACATGTCAGACACGGAGAAGAAGTGGCTGAGCCAAGAAATAAAGAAGTGCAACAGCAAACAAGAAGCTTTATGGGTGACCTGAGGCTGCAACTGAGAAACCAGCAGGAGTTTCGGATGACAAATGATTTGGGGCATTAATATTTAGTGAGCATCGCTACCCAAAGAGGATGGGAGGCACTGAGGTTGTTCTTCCTCTGTCTGCTCAGGGCCAGGGTGTAAGAACTAAAGCTGTGGGGTGGGGGTGTGACCCCCAAACACAGCAGTAGAGCCTCACCACTGCAGGAGTACCCAGCTGGGCAGAGCTGGCACTCTGCTGAGTGCCATTTTCCACTGCCAGAGCTGAAGCTTCCAGGGCTGCAGGGGACTGGGAATTCCGAGCCTTCGGGGCAGTAGAAGCCAGGAGGGCAGTGCCTGTGATCTGGCTGAGTGGATCCAAGGTCACAGAAATACCCAGCATAACACGTTCCTGCCAGAAAGAAAAGCTTCAGTAGTAGGTTTAAAATCAGAAAGAAAAAAAAAAAGCAAACTGAGAGAATTCAACACAAAAATAGTGTTGATTTTTTAACATATGTATTTTTAATTTTTGTTTTTAATATATGTAACAGACTAATAATATTAAAATAATACATAATATAATATGTAATATAATAATAAAATAAAATAAAATATTATATATTATAATTATTATATATTATATTATATTACATTATATTTTTAGAATATGTTATGTATTATTATATATTATCTTATAATAATAAAATAAAAATAATATAATAAAATAGATTATCTATTATATGATATTATAATAATTATATTTTATATTATATTTTCATAATATATTATTATTTATTATTATTTATTATTATAATAATTATTATATATTATCTTATAATAATATAATAAAATAAAAATATAATAAAATTATAGATTATCTATTATATGATATTATAATAATATTTTATATTATATTTCCATAAAATATTATTATGCATTATTATTATAATTATAATAATAATTATCTTATTATAATATAATAATAAAACAAAATAAAAATAATATAATAAAATAATAATTATATATTATATAATAATTATATATTATATTATAGTTTTATAATATATTCTATATTATTATTATTATTTATTATTATTTAGTATCTTATAATAATATAATAATAAAATAAAAATAATTAAAAATAATATAAAATAATTAAAATGTGTTAATTTGATACCAAAAATGTATGCAATACACACCAGAAACTGCAGCCAGGCCTTCTCCTTGGCAGAACCTCCCTGCAGGGCAGGGCAGACAGGAATTCCGGAAAACCATCCCAGCCTGAGGCAGAACCGTGCCAGTGGGACAGGGCTGGGGTTTGCTGCTGCCTGGGGGGCAGTAATGCCCTGCTGGGCACAGGCTGCCCGTCCCATCCCTCCCAGGGTTGGGCACACGGGCCTTGGAAGCGCAGTAATACCCGGGAGAACAGGGACCACTCGGGGCTGAGAGTCCTGAAGAGAAGGAGCATCATCACTGAGCCAAGGGCAGCACACAAATCCCAGCCCCTGCACCAACCAAACCACACCAGCCCTGTCACCACCATGGTTTCAGAGCCCACTGGCCTGGGAGTAGCTCTGGGACTTAAAAGCTCAATCCATACTCTCAATATTTACTCACACAACTGGTTCCCAGAGAGCTGAAAGCCCAAACAGCTTTCCAGGTCACCCTCACAGAAGGGGCTGATCCTTACAGCTCTATCCACTGAGAGACAACCAGAACCAGAGGAGTCCTAGAACCCAAGCTGCTTGACTTCTGATTTTATATCTTTGCTAGAACAAACCCATCTTAATCTGCCTTTAATTGAACTTACAACAGACGCTTTGCAAAAAAATATTTAAAATCATGACAGAGAACCTCTGCTCCAGGAATCCCAGAGATCACTACAAATGGTACTTAAAAGCCACATGAGCTGCACAGAACATCTCACCCACTGGTGGAACTTTTTGGCTCTCCTGGATACAAACCAGCCCAGGGCTGTATTTAATCCATACATGATTCCCACCTGCACTGGCACAGAAGGTGCCTCCAGGACAAGGCTTGCAGTCCCTGGGGTTTCCCAGGCCAGTCTGGTTGCTGTAGGTGCCCTCTGGACACGGGTACTGGTGGGCAGCCTTTGTTCCTGGCAGGCAGTAATACCCTGCTGGACATTCCATTGGTTTGACCACACCATGGGAGATGTTCTCTTGGAGATCACCTGGGTGGTCTTTCAGGGCACAGAACCTGCAAAAAAAATCCCAGGTGGTGCCTCAGCCCATGTTTTCCCTCTGTTCTGACAGAAACTTCTTCTGCACAACAATGACAGTCTAAGACACACAATAAAAGCAAATTACTTGGAAAGAAACAAACGGAAAACTAAGATATAATCTCTCAGGACCGTCCTGTCCATCCCAGCAGCCAGACCTACTAGGATGGGTTGGCTATGACACGTGAATTGTGGTACAGAAAATGACACAATAAAGGGAAAATTGATCTGAAAACAGAAACAAGAAAATCAGTTTTGTACATCAAAGTGTGTATCTTGTGTATCAAACACAGAGCAGCCTAAGGCACAGGGAAATACACATTTAATTCCTAATAAAGCTTCAAGAGAAAGGAGCAAATCCATGGCACTCACATTCCTGCTGGGCACGTTTCACACTGGATTTTACCAGCCTGGTCCTGATATTCTCCAGGGGGACAAGGTACAGGCTCTGGGCTGCCAGTGGGGCAATAGTGACCCACAGGACACAAATAATCTAGGATTAAAAAAAAAAGAAATATAACCACTGCTGTGGTTATTCCTGAACAGCTGCACGGGGAAAGTAGCACCACAAACCTAGAGCTGGAATATTTAATAAGATAAAAGTCTTGATGAAAAATAACCTACCCCCAGTTTTGTTTAAAGCACTGCTGCCCTAAACAGCTTCCAGAGAGCTGAAGGGGCTGCAGCCTGTCTGCACTGGCTCATGGGCCACTAAATTCCATGTCTAATACACCAGGATTTGAGCCACAGTTACCCCTCCATCACACTCTGTGAAAGGGAGAACAGGCAATCTCATATAATTTCTCTCTCTCACTAGTTCTTTTTAAAAAAAGTTGAAAATATCACAAGAAAGAAACTCCTTTTGGGATATTTTTCAGCTTGTTTCTTGTCTTGGTAAGATCCCCTATTTTTCCCTGCTATATTTACACACTCCCACCCACTACTTTAAGATGTGTTACCTGGAATAATTTTTGGAAAACATTTTTTCATCTCAGTGGCTCTCCATCTCTAAACATAACTTGAAACCGTAAGTAAGGCCAGATTTTAAGGTCTTGCCAACTGTAGCTAAAGGATGACCCCAAAGATCTCCTACCTGGATGCTGGTCTGACACAGAGCCTGCTGGGCAGAACCACCCTGCCTTACACAATCCTTCTGGGGAGCTGTGGCCGTGCTGGGAACAGAACCAGCCTGGGGAGCAGGGCTGGCACTCCTGTGCTGACTGCCCACCACCACGAGCCAAGAAGGAGCCTGGAAACCAAAACCCACCAAAATCACACTGTCACATCCTCCCAGGCCCTGCTGGAAGTGCTCGTGGAGCTGCTCACACAGTAACTTTCTAACTACACTGGTCCCAGCTCCCTCCTGCAGAAGATGCCAAAGGGATGCTGGATAAGAAGGAATTCAAAGGGAATACAGTTCCACCACTTCCTTAGATGACAGGTTTCTTGAAGAGGGTTCTGGGAGAGCTTGGTCCTGGTTGCTGGCTGAGGTGAATTCTATAATTCTAGGATTTATTTCTGGTCTGAGCAGTGCAATCACCTGCTTAATGTAGCTATACATTTAATCCAGGAAACAACCAACCATTCCACAGTCTCTCATTGCACTTAACCCTTTGTCTCTTTAATGGTGCTGATAAAGGACAGAGGCTCTTACTGTGACCTGTCCTTCAGCAGGGCTCAGCCAAGAGCTTCCCTCCCCAGCAGCAGCACAGGGGCTCCAGGGCCAGTCCTGCAATTCTTGTCTAAATGCAGATTTAGGGCTGATTTTCCAATGCAACAGCACTGCATTAGAGGCTGTTTTCATGCTGATAACAGCTGTCCCTTGGGGAACACAGGCAAGGCTCAGCACAATGTGACAGGGCTGCAGAGCAGTGGCACAGGCCAGCAAGCTCAGCAGCTCTCTGGGCACTGGGAGGAGAAATGACTCCCATCTGACTCCCAAAAGACTCCCAGCTGCCATCAGACCTACCTGGGGGACAGGGAGAGGGAGAATAACTCCCTGCAGGGCAAAAGTGGCCTCGGGGACAGATGTTTCCCACTGCTCCATCCCTGGGGTTGGGGAGTGTGGAGCCCCCTGTGCAGTAAAATCCAGCCTGGCAGGGACCTGATGGAGCTGCCAGCTCTGAGGTGGCACAGAACCAACCTGGAGGAGGGGACAGAACCAAGGTCAGCATTTCAGGGGCATCAGAACCAGTCACAGCACGACTGGGTTTCCCTGGGGATCTTGGCAAAAGGGGATAGAGCACAGAGGTACAAAAACTCCAACCCAACAAACTTGGGCAGGAAAAAAAAAAGACTCTTCTCCTACCTGGAGGGCAGGGAAGAGGAAGAAATGATCCTGCAGGACAAAAGGTTCCTGCTTGGCACAACCCAACAGATCCAGAAGGTGGGGCTGCCATCCCTGTTAATGGAAAAGACACAGCCTGAGATGAAACATGGGAATTGCAAACATTATTGCAAAAATCTTATTGGGAGAGCTCAGGAAGAACAGAACTACAGCACTGAATTAAGGAAAATAAAAAGGGGGGAAAAAAGCCATCTTGAACCTGATTAGGTCTTTTGGGTGACCCTAATATCCTCCTCCAAAACAACCATCATCACAATTTATTGTTCCCCTTCATACCTGAGTAATTCCCAGGAAACACTGGTTTGCTTGACGTGGATCCAGGTGGACAAAACCACCCAGGCATGCACAGTCCATCTGGCCTTGCCAGGCCTGGCTTGGAACAGACCTTTCCAGGAGGGCACAGCTGGCACTTGGAAGCATCCCAGAGATTTAAAGCTTCACTGTAGGTTCCAGGAGGACAAGGATATTGTGTGGCAAATTCTGTATTCCTGGGGCAATAATGACCTAGGGAAGAAAAGATGGTTTCATAACAGTTAACACATGCTGGTGACAGCCAAGGGAGAATCACACATGGAATTCCCTTGTTCTCTTTCTGGGAAGGACTGACTGTGGGCCAATCCTGCAATTTGTCACTGTGTGTCACAGAAACATCCCAGGGGCTGCACCAAATGAAGGGCTGAGGGCTGAGGTTGAGCAGGCTGAGGTTGGGGAGGTGCAGTCACACCCACCTGCAGGACAGGCTGTGTAGTTTGCAGAGGCAGACGTGCAGTAAAAGCCTTCTGGGCACCCCAGGCACTGTGCCATCCCCCAGGATGGGCTGTAGGTCCCTGCAGGGCAGGGCTGGGCTCTGCTGCTCCCCGTCACACAGTGATGGCCAGGGGGACAGGGACCTCCACTGACTGTTGTCTTGGAAGAGAAACCCCACAGTTACAGCCTGAAAACTCAGAGGCTGCCCTTGCAGAAAGGTCTCTGCCAGATTCCACTGAAGAGAAGAAGAGTATGAAATGCTCTGAGGTGTGCTCACCCCTCAGTCTCCCAGGCTGCACACCTATCTTTTTCCAAAATAAAAGATCAGAATTCTGCCCATAATAAATCTCAGTGGGCTGTGGCACAAAGCCAGTGCCTTGTCGAGTTACCATCTTTACAAATTCATCCTGTATTTTGCCTCAGAGGAAGGCTGACAGAATCAGCATTCTAATCAAACTCAGGCACTCCCAACCTCTGTAATTTTAATCAGATTTGGCATTCCACTCTGCTCTGCAGCATCAACATGCAAAGAGAGAGCTACTTTTGCCCAGCTTTGAGATGTAAAGCTCAAAGAAGACCATGTGTGTCTTGTCATCTCTGGCCTCTTTCACTATCAATAAACCAGATATACCTGATGAGATGATGCAGTAAAAGAGAGTTTAATCCAGACCCAAAAAACTAAGGTGCCCTTTGGTCTTCAGTTTCACAGACATGATATTTTGTAGTATTTATATCACAAGCACAGCTTACCCTGGGAGGTTTAGGAGAAATGGTTCCTCCACTGCAATAGAATCCAGCCTCACATAATCCACTTGGAGAGACAAGCCCGGTCCCATCACAGAAATATCCTGAAATTAAAAAAGGACCATAAACTAAAAAGACCATAATGATATTGATGATCCTTGTGGGAATATTCTGTGATGTTGGCCACACAAGACAGACAAGAGCAAGTACAGAGTGAGGAAATATTCACTGAAGCACCATGTTTGATGTCACCCACAGCTCTTCTCCTGGAGATGCTTTCACTGGGAGTGGCTGCAGGTGCAGAGCTTCCATGCCAGAACAAACAGCCCTTGTGTCATCTCTGAGTGTGAAAACAGCTAGAGAAAGGCTGCAAAGGGAAACTCTCAGCTTGCACTTCACTCTGAGTATCCACTTATGTGGGAAAAAGGCAGATTCAGCCTCTGTGTGTTCTACCAACACTTCTCTCCAAGCAAGCAGTGCTTCAGGAGCGCCTGCTCTGGAACCACAGCTCCTCAGAGCCCCCCAAAATGGCTCAAATCTCATCAATCCTTTCTTCCAGCCTTGTACCTGCATCACACAGGAGGCAGCCCTCGATCCCAGTGTTCCCAGAGGAGCTGCTGTAGTGACCAGGAGGACAGGGCTGTGGGAGGGCAGAGCCCAGAGGACAATAAGCTCCCTCAGGGCACACGTTCCCCCGGAGACCATCCGTAGGTGTTGGGCTGGAGGCACCTCCAGTGCAGTAAAACCCAGCCAAGCAGGGCCCTGTAACGTGGGGCTGCCCTGCAAGTGCACAGTAATGCCCTGAAAAGCAAAATAATGCCGTGAATAAGAGCAGAAAAATCCAGAAAGGTACTTCAGAGGCACACAAACCCCACCCACTGGACACCAAACACACTCAGTGCCCACTGTCACACGTCCTCCTGTCACCCTGCTGAGGGATCTGTGGTACCTGGCTCACAGGGGGTGCAGTGGGACCTCAGGCTGCTCCCAGGCTGGGGGTTGTAAGTCCCTTTGGGACATGGGAACTGAGCTGCAGAAGCAGTACCTGCAGGGCAGTAGTGACCAGCTGAGCATTCATTCTCCAAAAAGGAAGAGGAATTTTGGGGGCAGAAGAACCTGGTCCAAAGAGAGATTAAAAAAAAAATAAAAAAGAAGACAAAAATTTTCCTAGTAGTATTCTATTCAAGTAATATATATTATTATATACTATTACTATATTTTGTATTCTATATATTTTATATATATGTATAAAATTAGTAATATATAATATATAATACATAGTAATATATAAAATAAAAACATAAAACATAATAATATATAATATATAACAATATATAATAATTACAATAATATATAAGAATAATTACATATAATATATATTACTAATATATAATATTACTAATATATAATATTACTAATATATAATATTACTAATATATAATATTAGTAAAATAATATCTAATAAAATAATAATATACAACATTACTAATATAATAATATCTAATAAAATAATAATATATAATATTAGTAATATAATATCTACTAAAATAATAATATACAATATTAGTAATATAATATATATATAATATGTACTGTAGAATATATACTATATTCTAGCAATATTCTATTCTAATTTTCCTAGTTATATTCTGTCCATAAATATCCTCCCACCAGTGGTGGGACCAGCCTGTCTAATGTGGTTGCTGCACTGTATTGACCAGAAAAGAGCTTCTCATGCATATCAGTGCATCCTCAGTTGTTTCCTCCTGTGCCAAATTGATGGCATAATTGCAAAAGCCACAGAGACGTAATTTTCTTAACTTGAGTCATAACATATCCAGGCTGTGATTCATCAACTTGTAAAAGTTAATCAAGGTCAAATCCACTCAGTAATTGGAGATAAATCCCCCAAGGAAAAGCCAGGCTCAGCATCAGGTGATTTTCAAGATCCTCTTCCCCTTCAACAGGCCTCTGCCAGCCTGTTGCCAAGGGAACCTTCTATTAACTCCAGACAGGAGCAAAGTTTATGGTGCCAGGTGGTTTCTGTGCTCTGAACAGCCTAAATCCCCTTCCATGGATATGGAGTTCGGACTTTTCCTGGTCCCATAATCATCCACACAGTGTTGTGAAACAGAGCTCAGCAGCTGCTCTGCTTCCTCATGGAGACAAGTGGTAAAATAACTCATTTTCCCATCTCATCCTGCTTTGCCCACCCTGTTTTTCCCACCACATCCAGCCAGCCATGGGTGGTTGGATAAACAATTATTTCCAGTAGTCCCTCCACTCGTGTGTATAATCCTAAGGTCACTCTGTCATTCTTACCCTTCAGGACAGGGGAGGCAGCTGGTTTGCCTTTGGGAAGGGTTATAGGATCCTGCTGGACAAGCAACTGGAAGAGCTGCACCCTCGGGACAGAAATACCCTGGGAAAGAAAGACAGGACAGATCAGGATCAGCAGCCTTTGGAAAACCGAGGGCAAACCAGACATTTAAGCAGGAGCTCAACTCACCCTGCGGGCAGGGCGCTGGCTCCTCACCAGGGACACAGAACTGACCCCCTGGGCAAGGCTGGCACTGCTCCCCGTGGCTGTGGGGCAGGTGGGAGCCAGGGGGACACGGGGCTGGAGCCCTGGAGCCAGGGGGACAGGAGTGAGCGGGGGGACACGGAGCTCCCGAGAGGCCGTCGGTGGGCGTGGGGGTCTGGGCACCAGCAGCACAGAAGTACCTGCACCAGGAGCACAGGGTGTGTTCCAGAGGGCACAGAACCCCTGGCAGAGCAGCCCTGCCCACAGCAGAGCATGGGAATGTGCTGGTTCTACTCACCCTGGGCTGCACTGCCCCGAGGGAGCCCCCAGCCCGGAGCCATTGCAGAAATATCCCCCGGGACAGGGCTGGCACTCCTGCAAACTCCTCCTGCCCGCCCTGCCAGCCCACGTGCCAGGAGGGCACTGCAAGGGCACGGCTGCACCTGGAATCAGTCACCCCAGAGTGAGGGAATGGCACCCTGTGCTTCCCAGGAACAAAGAGAAGCCGTGTTCCAAAGCACCCACCTCCAGGACAGTAATGCCCGGCAGGACAAGGCTGTCCTGACTCTCCATCCTGGGGGTCTCTTACCCGGGCACCGCTTTTGCACCAAAACCCCTCTGCACAGTCTCCTAGAAAACAGAAAGATCTGTGCAAAATATGTGAATATATGAAGCAAAAGGCACATAAATGCAAATTTCAGAACTCAGACTGACGTGCAGACATTTGTCATCATGCAGAGTAGTGCAAAAATCAGTGAGGGAATGGTCAGCAAGCAGAAGAGCTGCTTGTAAGTGCCAGGAGGGCAGAACTGGCAGCAGATGCCACACTGACAGAGAGAGAAGCACTTCCCTTCACCCTCACTGAGCACTACCTCCATACCTCACCAAGTATTCAAGCACACATTTCTCTTTAGAATCGTATTCAACACATCCTGAAATATTAAGAATTCTATTAAAATGTTGAATTAGGGCCTTCCAGAACAAGGACCAACAACAACAACAACAAAAAAATCAGCAGCACTGATGTGGAAAAACAATCTTGAAAAAGATGGAGGTGTCCTTGCTGGGTATTTTGCCCACTCTTTCTCTGCTCAACTTAATCACCTGCCCATCAATCACATGAAAGGATTGGTCCTTTGGGAACCAGGCTGAAAAAACAAACTGATTGTAAAAAACCAAAATGCCAGACAGGTTTGACACTGGAAAACTCCCACTGGATTTTTTTTTTTTTTTTAAGAAGCATCACACATGGAATTCTACTTTCCACGGTCATTCTTTCACATCTTGCTTAGGTAAATGATTTTTTTTTTCCTTCTCAGGAAGTCAAATGGGACAGTTCACCTTGGGTGGGGTCAGAACCCTGGAGGCCAAGCCCTGAATTAACCATCAGCCACTGACATGACTCTAGCAGGAACAAGGATGCTCAGGACAGCAGTTTACCTGTTGGGGCAGCAAGGCCAGGCAATTCACAGTATTTTCCTGGTGGGCACCTTTGACATTCCTGGATAGTTCTCAGTTTTTGCCTTGGCCCAAAGGTTCCTGCAGGGCAGCTGTACTGGGAGCTCCTGCTGGTCCCTGGTGGGCAGTAAAAGCCTCGTGGGCAGGGGTAAAGGGTGAAATCAATAACTGGCCCTTGCTGGCTGTCACAGTAATAACCTGCAGGGAGACAGAGGGAAAGAAGCTCAATCAGAGTTAGAAGCTGCAGAGGTGCTGCTCATTAGGAGAGAACAGCTTCTCCCAGCACACAAAGCTCGGTGGCCACTCAGAAAAATAAACCTCCTGCTGACCTTAAATAACTATTGATCTGACTCACAGCACTGCTGGCACAAACATACAGCAAAGCTTTCCGCTTGCTGCACTCTTTAGAAGAAAATTTACCACCCAGAGGCCCCCAGAACACAGGACAAAGCTTACAAGTGACACAGGAAAACATCTGAGGACACAACATTGATCTCTCTGTTTCCTTTCAGGTGCCGAAACCCTTCAAAGAAAGTTTTCCCCCTGAACATCAGAGTTTTCCCTTGGCAATATTTAAATTGCTCAGAACACACAGATGTCACCACTTCTTTCACATCTGAGTTGTTTTAACCTCTAATGGCCTTTTCACGCGGAGACAGGAAATGTTCTCCACCAGGGAAGAGAAGGAACCACCAAGGTAGGCAGCAAATCTCTAAACTGTGATCCACAGGATCCATAGGAAGGCTCAGGAGTCTGTAACAAGCAGCCACTTTTTGTAATGAGGGAAGCACAGAATGACATTGGGATATAACTCCTATTTTCTGGATGGATTACAGCACCTCTGGCTCCTGTCAGCTCTCCCAGAAGGGAAATAGCTTTTCCACTCTCAACCAGTGACTCACAGAAAGACATTTATTTTGAATTTGTCCAATTCACACCAAGTCACACTCCTCTGAGCGCCTCCCCAGAGTCTCTGTGGGTCTGCAATGCAGTTTATTCACCACTTACCCTCCCAGCACTCCCCAGTCGGGGCACTGAGCCCAGGCTCCTCACAGTAGAAGCCAGAGGGGCAAGGCTGGCACTCAGAGAGTGTTCTCCTCCCTGGGAGGCTGGAAAAGGTGCCAGCTGGGCACAGCTGGGGCACTGCTGATGCTGCAGCTGCGAGAACAGAAGCAAAGACAGAATGGAGAGGACAAACATTATTAGCTTCACTTTACTCAGGGAAACAGAGGTGAAGCCAATAACACTCTAAAGTTCATGTATTGAGACAAAAATATCACTTTATCACCTTCAAAGAACAGGCCAGGGGAAGAACTGGGGGAAGAATTTGGGACTTTATGGTCAGACCCCAGTAAGTTGGCTACCACACCCCCAAAATCACCCAGCAGTGTTTCAGATATTAAAGGACATGAAATTTTCAGTATTTCAGGCATTATGGGACAGGGAATCCTGAGTCCTGACTGTGCTGGATACTCACTGCAGTAGGTCCCCACAGGGCAGATGTTCCCAGTCACACCATCTGTGGGTTTAGGGAGAGCTGCTTCCCCTTCACAGTAAAACCCAGGAGCACATTCCCCACTGGGGACAGACAGACCTGGAACACAGAGAGGATGGTGGCACTCAGAGCACTGAGACCAAGGGAGAAAAGCAGGAAGAACAACTGCTCCCAGTCCCCCTCTGGAAAACACCACGGGCATCTCCCAAGCACAGCTCTGTGGAAGCACCAGGATAAAACAATTCCTGTTGGACACACTGGAAGAAAAGTGAAAGGACAGAAAAGGAGTGGGAGGAAATGAAGCATCAGTGAGTATTTCAGCACCTGCAGGCTCTGCAGAGGCAGAGTGCAGGTAATCTGGCAGCAGACCCTGGTGTTCCATGTCTGTGAATCTGTAATGGAGTGTGTTCACACTGGTCCTCTGAAGATGGGAACACAGCCAGGGACACTTACTCAAGGTCACACAGCAAATTCTGGCAAAATCAGGTTTATCTCCCAAAACAGAACTTAGCTTTAGGGTCCTCTAAAAAGCTCTTAAATAGCACACATCCCTTCGTCCACACTACGCCTTTAATTTATCTCCACTCCAAACTGATCACTCCTGTTTCTCCAAAGACACAAACCTGAGGCATTGCAGTAAAAGCCAGGGGGGCAAGGCAGGGGCTCTGGGCTCCCTCTGGGGCAGTAGAACCCAGCTGAGCACTTCCCTCCAGTGGCAGTGGCTGGGCACAGGCAGTTGGCATTGGTGTAGTTATCCAGGTCGAAGGGCTGGGAGGTCCAAGCAGCTGAGATGCAAAACCAGCCTGAGAAGAGAATGCACGACTGAGACCCTGAAACCATCCTGAATAAACCAGCTGGGATGGCTTTGGGTGCAATGTCTGCCCAGAACAGCCATGAGCACACAGAACAGGGGACAGGTTAACACCACCCAGATTTAGCACCATCATGGCACAGTTTTCCAGGCAGTGATGCTTTTATAGAACACACAGCAGCAGAGAGGGGAGGAGATCTCGCAGCCCAAAGTTCAGTACTTTTGCTTTATGGTCACAGGGCTCAGTTCAGCTGCCTGGGCAGGTTCAGAAGGCAGATGCAGAGGCTGCTCAGGGTGACCAGGCACATCCTACATGGAGCCTGGGCCCATCTGAACCAGCAGACAGGATTCAGGTGGATGCCCAGGCTGTGTTCAGTCACACTGGATGCCCACAGGCAGGCAAGGGAATCAAGCAAACACACGGGAAGGGCTGTGGCAAAAGTTGCAGGATAAAAGCACCAGCCTCCCACCCACACTGTCCCCAGGTGCTGGGCAACACCACAGCCAAGCTGCCCCACACTCACCTGCATCACACTGGCCTGAGGCTGCTGTCAAGCCCTCCTTGCCACAGTAGTGCCCAGGGGGACAGGGCAAGCAGCTATCCAGGCTCTGTGTCATGGGGTCAGGGTTGTAGTAGCCCCTGGGACAGGGAAACTCAGTGGCAAACTTGGTTCCTTTGGAATAAAGAGAGCAAGAACCCTTCGTGGACCGTAAACACCATCTGTTGATCCTGCTATATCACTTCATGCCATCTTTTCCAGTTTATCTCATTGCTGATCCCCATAGCCCTTCCTGGCCAGGACAGTCCCTGGGTGCTGTTTAATTTGCCTGTGAGGGTGTTAAGCAACAGCCATATCCATGGTTTAAAATACTATTTGGTTTTTTTCCTGTGAAGAACCAGACTGACACTTAAACATTTTGTTACAGAGATCATTTCTCGCCTTTAAGAAGGATGTTTCAGCCTGGCCAACGGATTGCTTTGTCCCCAGGGCCCATCTCACCTTTGGGGCAGTAAAAGCCAGCTGGGCAAGGGTTGGTGCTGTAGCTGGTGGTGTTCTCTGGGCAGAAGTACCCTGCAGCACAAGGGGAGCAGGCAGCTTGCCTGGTGAGGTTGTTGTAAGTCCCTGCAGGGCAGGGGGAGGGAAAGCTGCTTCCTGCTGGGCAGAAGTGGCTCACGGGACAAGGGCCTCCCTTCTCCCCCTGACCTACAGCACAGAGAAGAACAGGCATGGAATTGGAGGTCTGCCCTGGAAATCATTATTTCTGAGCACAATAAAATGACAGGCTGTGTCCATTACAGGCAGACACTCATAACCCCCCCAGTGCTCAGTGCAAGCATCTCATTTGAGGGCACAGACCAGCAGCTTCTTCACCCTTGGTATGGCACAGATCCCTCAAACAAAACTAACACAGGGGTTTGGGTGTCTGAGAGGAGGCAGGGGCAGGAACACTGTGGGAAAAGGTGGCATTTTTTAAAGCTACCCCTTTGCCAAACCCCCAGGGGGGTGTTGCCCCAGCACAGCTCACCAGGTGGGGATGGGGAGGAAGCCCCAGGCAGGCAGTAGTAGCCAGGTGAGCAGGGTCCTGAGGGGGCTGTGAGGCCAGAGGAGCCACAGAAATGGCCAGATGGACACGCTGTGCAGTTGGAGTCCTGCCAGTTGTGGAGCCTGAGAGGACACAAGCAGGTTTTGTGTTGGCAGGCGTGTCAGCTCAGCAGGTACAACACTGGTGCCTTCCACTCTGGCAGAGTGAGAGCAACCAGGGAGCTTTCATGATCAATGCAAGGACATGTGTAATGAGCCTTACTGAGCTGCATTTTGTTGCTTAAAGGACTAAGGGAGAAACCAAAAAGAAAATAAAAATTCAGATCAGCAGAGCCCCAAATCTTACCTGTCTGAGTAAGTGCCTGTGGGGCATCTCTGTGGGATACTTGTGCCAGCTGGGCAGAAGTGTCCAGGTGGGCATGGGCCACCAGTACTCGTGTTTGTGGCTCCATTAGGGTTTGGGACACTTGCTCCTACGTGAAGAAGAGCAAAGGTGTCCTGAGTGACACGAGTTGCTATCCATAGGCAAGTCCTCCATGCCCAAAGAATCATTTCCATGGCTGACAGAAGAGTATGTGACTTATTGCTGGTTGTAACTCATGACAATGAAGCCAAAAATCTGTAGTGGGTTGGAATAACTAACAGCAAGTTTCATAAGGGCCACAGCTTCCTGCTTTTTCACTCCTTTTGCCCTGTGAGCACTAAATTCAATACCTGCTGTGCAGAAGAATCCTGGCCAGCAGGGACCACTGGGAGAGGACAATCCCCATTCTCCACAGAACATTCCTGGAAGACCACAGAGGGAAAAGAGCATCAGTAAACTGAGAGAAAAACCAGGAGAGGTGCTGTGCTGCATTCACTGATTGGAAGGCAAAGGGGAAGACTTTGAGAGAGCAAATCCCTCAGCACCGACACAACTGGGACAAAACCACATTCCAACTCGGATCATGCTCCTCTGGGAAACCCTGAATGTGAACCAAACTCTCCTGCAGAGCCTCAAAAAAACCCTGCAGCTCACTGGAGACGCCACCAGTGGGACAGGGATCCTACTTTTACTGTGTATTTTCATATTTGCATTTCCTAGAGGGGAAACACGCACCAGAAAACTTGGGAAGGGAGAGATGGAGAGAGATCACCCCCTTAGACATATCCCTACAGGGAGAACCAGAGTCATTTCCTCACCTGCAGGGCACTGCTGGCACCTCTCAGCCTGGCTGAGGCCATAGGAGGGGTTGTAAGTCCCAGGAGGACAAGGATAAAAGTCGATCCCAGTTTTCTGGGGGCAATAAAATCCAGGAGGACAGCGACGTTTTAGTCCTTTGGAACAGTGAAACCCAGCAGGGCAAGGAAGGCATTTGTCTTGACCTGTGAGGGAAATACAGGAGAGAAAAGGAAAAATGGAATGAAGTGGAAGGAAAATGCCATATGCGCAAATGCTCTGGGAAGCAGAAGTGGAAATAAAGTTATTTTGAGAGCTCTCCTGTGGTAACTGGCCTTCAAATGTGCACTTTCTCCCAGGAGCATTGGATTCAGCAAACATCCCATCTCCAGGTAACCAGTAACCTCCACATCCCCCCATTAGGGGGCAGGAGGAACAGAGGGAAAGCTGGATAACTGCTTACAGCCTCCTGGGCACTGTCCCAGCTACAAACCCAACACATGAAGGGGGAAATACATTCCCTATGTGACACCAGAGGAAAAAAACCCAACAACCCCCCTTTCTCAACCCCTTTCTCAACCCCATTCCCCCAAAACACTGTATTTAAATGGCCAGCAGCTACCAAGTGCTTCTTGATGCAGAAAAAACCCACGATCAGTGTTTCCATCTGCCCCAGGGCACTGTGCAGCTGCACAGCCCCACTGTTGCATTGCTGTACTCCCCTGACCTGCTGCATTGCTGTATTCCCTGACCTGTTGCATTGCTGCATTCCCCTGACCTGTTGCATTGCTGCATTCCCCTGACCTGTTGCATTGCTGTATCCCCTGACCTGCTGCATTGCTGTATTCCCCACTGGGGCAGGGGGAAGGTGCTGCTGAGCCTGCAGGGCAGAAATGTCCTCGAGGGCAGAGATCTCCAGTGACACCATCCTCTGGCTCTGCTGTCTTTGTCCTTCCCGTGCAGTAGTAGCCTTAAAGCAGAAAATCTTTCAGTCCTGTCTCCCAGCCAAAACCAACTCATTTCTGATTTCCTGGCTCTGTCTCACCTCGTGCACAAAGTCCTGCAGGAGCACCTTGGCCAGACGTGTTGCAGAAAAACCCAGGGGCACAAGGCAGGCACCAAGTGGCATCCTGGGCCCCTCTCTGCCCATTCCAGGTGCCAGCAGGACACGGCATCTCCTCTGGGTGCGTGGTGCCAGCTGGGCAGTAATGTCCTTGGGGGCAAAGATCTCCAAATGGAAGCCCCACCTGGAGCGAGGAAAATAAAATTAATATGGTTTATAAAAGGTTTTGTAGAGACAGAAGGTCTTGAGCAGCATGAGGTGTTGGGGACTCACAGGTGAGGAGGTGCTGGAACCTGGGCTGCAGAAATATCCTGGCTGGCAAGGTCCTTCTGGCTCAGCCAGCCCAGCTGTGCTGCAGAACATTCCTGCTGGGCAGGGCTTGCAGGAGCCTGCCCTCCCCACGTCTGAGTAGGTTCCCTGCACAGAAAGAATCACTCAGTGCCCCTGCCAAGGCACTGGGAGCCTGCTGAAAATCACTGCTCGAGGAACAAGTCCATATCTGACTCTTACCACCGGACATGGGAGAGGCAAGGAACTCCCAGCCGAGCAAAAATGCCCTTTGGGACAGTCCTGGGGTGCAGCCAGACCTGGCTCATGGCAGAATGTACCCTCTGGACAGTCCCTACAGAGAGACTGAGCACGGCCCTAAGGAGGGAACATGGAGAGGGCTTGGCAGGTTCATTGAATAAATAAACTTTGCACATCCTACCAGCTCCCAGAGACTCCCTGCTACGAGATAAACCCCCTGAAGGAATGACCTGCAGCCCAAATGCAACAGATTTGGGGTGTCTGAACAGCACCTTGACCAGGTGCAGGTCAAAAAGCAGGGCAGGCACAGCCCCAAGCTAATAATAATTACAGCAGTGACACACACACACACACGTGTTAATTCACACCTGCAAGGCCAAAGCTTCTGCAACTCTCTGCTAAATTTGCATTATGCAAGAAAACTTAAGAAAAACTGCCAAATGAGCTCTAGCCAACAGCCCTGGACTGATGGATCTCATGTCCTGACCCCAAGGCTCTCAGTTCTGCACAGAGTTTTTCTGTTGCAGGGTAAAAGCAAAGGGGGTGGTGATTACCCAGCTTAGCAGAAGACTCAAGTCCCCCTTTTTTTTTTAAGCCTCATGAATTTCTACACACACATTTTACAGTTTCCAAGGGCTCTGATGACCCCCCCAGGTTATTACACATTAAATACCAACACACTCACAGGCTGGAAGCTGCCAAGGGGACATGGCTCTGGCTGGAAGGCTCCTGCTAAGGAATAATGTCCCTCCATCACCACCTGCTGAAGGGGATTTTTGGCACCCCCTGTACAGAAGTAACCAGGTTCACAAGGTCCTGAGGGAGTCTGGCTGTTTGTCCCATCACAATACAGGCTATGGGGGGGGAAAACGAAAACCTTGGATAGTCATAATGCCTTTTTTTTTTTTTCACTAGATAGCACAGTCCCAACACAAAAAAATCCCTGGAATCTTAGAGACCTGGCTCCTGTTTGCTTGACAGGAGTTACAGAGCTGAAGGTAAGGATGGGCTATGGTAACAAAGGTGAGGGTTGAACACTCATTTTGCAGTGGGACAGAACTGAGTTGTGTTCTGTGGGTAACACTCACCCAGGTGGGCACTCCAAGCACTCCTGGAGGCTCCTGAGCCCACTGAGGTTGCTGTAGGTGCCTGGGGGGCAGGGGATGGGTGAGGGACAGCCAGGTGGGCAGTATGACCCAGCAGGACACACATCTCCTGTCACACCGTCTGTGGGCAGCTGGAATTGGGAAAGGCATCATTCAAAGAGTGGAGCAAGAGAGGTTAAAATATTTAAGGTGTCACAGTGATGTAGGTAACACAGATTAAAAAAATAAAAGAGATCTACTCTGTTGTACAGAGAGCAGATAACTGGGAAATGCAGCAAACACAAAGAGAATAAATAGGGATGACCTTTTTACAGGAGCAATCCCACTGTGATTCACACCCACTGACCTTCCAGTTAAGGGGGTGTCAGTGTTAAAAGGGAAAAACATGACATCACCACACTCCCTCTGAGGGCACCACGAGGGTCCTCGTGCCATAAACTTGAGTGTGAGCAGCACTAAATTGGGACTTTTGAAGTCACTGGGTTAATAAAAAACACCACAGTGGGGAAAAAAAGCCCAAACAAATCACAGCAGAGCACAATTAGATAAGGAGAAAAACTTGCCAGTGGGACTTACTGGGGTCAGGGCCCTGCCCTGGCAGTAAAATCCAGCCTCACAGGGACCAGTTGGCCCAGTCTGTCCTGGGGCAGCACAGTAGAAACCACGGGCACAGGGGCTGCACTCCGAGGGTCCAGACAGCCCCTGCTTGGCACTGGAGGTGCCCTCTGGGCAGGGCTCGGGCTTGGAGCTGCCTTGGACACAGTAAAAGCCCTGCAAAACAAAGCCAGCTTAATCCTTTCTTTTAGACAGAGCCCAGCCAGCAGCTGCTTCCATCAGCTGAGCAAGGGAAACAACTCACTGCTGGGCAAGGTTTGGGCTCTGCCATGGCAGGGGAGTCACAGTAGTGCCCAGGTGGGCTGGGTTTGCAAACATCTTCCCCCTCTCTGCTGGAATTATCCCAGAAGCTGCCTGGCATGCAGGGGAAGGAGAAGGGGAATCCAGTCCCTGGAGGGCAGTTGTAGCCAGGTGGGCAATCCCCTGTCTGGGAAGCAAAACACACAGTCAGGCTTTGCTGTCTCCTGCCTGAGGAAGAGGAATCTGCTCACATTCAACACAGGGAGATTCAAGCTTTTATCTCAAATTTGAATAACCTGGTGTTTTTTCACTGCAAGAAAGTGGGGCAATAAAAAAAAAAAAAAAACAAACCCAGAATGAAGGGAAATTTAAAGTCTTACCAGTAAAATTCTGACCATGTAGGATGATTATTTGAGCTGAGATGGTTTTAAGGTAAAATCCTGTCATTGAGACAGGCCCTACACATTTTATCTATACAGTTGTGTGGAAGATGCTCTTCTCCCACACTTGGGGAAGAGCTGTAACTGGGACAGAGTTATCACCTTGCTCTTCAATAAAACCAGGGATTCATCCATGTGGAAAAGAATACACCTTCATTTTTTTTTTTTTTACACTTAATAGAGTCTTCTTTTTTTAACAGCTATTAACATTTGAGGAGGCAAAACAATCACAGTGAAAGATCCCCAGACTCATTAGATAAGGAGCAGCACCAATCCCTGACCTCTGAACTCTCTTTCACAGCCTGCACTGACAGGCAGGAGGCAAAATAAGGACAGAAAACATGCATCCAACTTGCTCCATCAGCAGTGGGGTAAAAAGCTGGGAGAGCCTGGGCTGTACTTACAGGGTGGGGGATTCCTGGAGGCTCCATCCCATCTGTGTAGCAGTATTTCCCTGCAGGGCAGGGTGAGCATTCCTCAGCACTGCTCAGCCCCCTCTGCTCACCAAAGGTGCCATTGGGGCAAGGCTTGGCATGCAAACCCTTGAGAGGAAAGAGAAAAATGGGTTTTTAACATCCTGGTCTGACTGCTGCAGCCCACAGCAGCTAAAGCTATGAAAATAATTCAGAATAATCACACACAGCATCTCAGAAAGCGTTATCCTGATATTATTAACAGCTTTATGTTATGATATTATTAACAGCTTTATGTAGGGCAAATACTGCTAAGATCTGTTAACACACACAGAGTACAGAAAATCAGTAAAAACAAAACTATTAGGAAAGGTTCTCCATAGCAAAACATCCCAGTGCAGACTGTGACTGTACAGCTGGAGTGAATAGTGAATTCCAAGGGCAGAGTCACTCACAGTATCTCCCTGGGGACAGTAGTATCCTCGTGGACAGGCATTTTCAGTGGGATCTGGGACATCTGCCTGCCCCCCCGGGCACAGGAGCCCTGCTGGGCACACCATGAGCAGCAGCATCACCTCCAGGCTGGTGTGCTCACTGGAGCAGTAGTGTCCAGCTCGACAGGGCAGGCAGGAGGCTGAGCCTTGGTCCTGGCAACAGGGAAGGATCCACTTTTAGAGTGCAAAAGAATCCTTCTGCACATCTGTGAAGTTGTGTTGAGGTCCAAAATGAAGGAAATGAATGCAAACAACTCTACAGCAGACCCTGCTCCCATGAAACATTCCACTGTGCTCAGTAATACCACAGGTAACACAAAGACTTCCATTTCTAATTCCCTCTAAGCCCTGAACAGCAAGAGCATGGAATTCCATGCCTCCACTCTGCAAAAAGAAAGCCTGTGCTTCACAAACAGGAATCCTGCCTGTGGATTATCCGTGCAGATAATCTGTGTGGATTATCTGTTCTGACCCTCAGAACAGTCAATCCAACAACCCCTGCCAGCAGGAGCAGGGGGAAACACAGACATATTCCCTCATCTTCCTTTGTTACACTGAACTCCAATGCAAACAAGAAATAATCTGGGTCTCTTTGCTACACACAAATCTCCAGACATCATTTATCTCCCCTCCAGTCTCAGCAAAGGGTTCCAGTGACAGCCCCCAAATTTGTGCAGTGAGAGAAACTGCTCTGGTGGAGGCACCAGGGTCCTCTGACAGGAGGGATGAGCCCACTTGCCATCAACAGGGAAATGTGGCACTAGAAACGTCACTAGAACACTTCATGACAGTTTGTTGTTTAACCTCCCAAAGGTGTAACTCCATTGCAGTCAAACACTTCCTTTTTGAGCAGGAGCCAAGTGGGGGTGGCTCCTTTTGGCCAGGGTAAAATGTGTCATGAGAACCTGGAGTATCCAACTGCCCGCAGGACAGATGGACTGGGACCGCCAGCTCAAGCCTCTGGGGTGGGAATAACAGCAAAAGCAGGATTTCACACTGGATAGGTGGTTTTGGAGCTGACTGGAGCAGCTCCAAACCTGCTGATGTAGGAACATTCCCTGTGTTTCTCTGGAATAGCATTTTAACTCCTCGCAGAGTGGCCAACGCTGTTTAAAGCTCTGCACAAATCACCCCAAATTCCCAGACCCATCACGGAAGGAGAAGAGCCTCCCCTCAGAGCTCCCCTTGGTGCCAAACCCCACCCAGCAGCCGCCAGGATAAAACCATTGCTGCTTACTGAGAAGTTCCCAGCCCCGCAGGTCCTCGGGGTGACGGTGCCAGGCTGGGGGCAGTGGTACCCCCCCGGGCAGGGGGTGCAGTCTGCAGCCCCCTGTGCCCCCCGTGCCGAGCGATAGGAGCCTCTGCAGGGGAGAACACGACAGACACAGTCACAAACAGCAGCCAAGGCGGCAAGGGAAGCTCAGCACAACCTCCAGCCCGAATTTGGGGGGGGGGTTGAACAGAAAAACGTGCTATATCTGCAGCAGGAAACTGCCTGACCCAGACAAAACTTGCCCGGCCCACCCAGTCCCAGCCCAAGCAAAAGGAATCTTCAGCATTTCAATATGAATTACAGGCACAGAGGGATGTTTTCTTTTGTACCTGCACGTGTGCTGCACTTACACTGGGCAGAGCACTGGTTTGGAGGTGCCAGTGGGGCAGAAAGCCCCTGCAGGGCAGGCAGGACAATCTTCCCCCCTGCTATTCCCCAGGCGGGTGCTGTAGGTGCCTGCAGGGCAGGGGAACTGGGTGCCCCTCCACGAACCTTCCCAAAAAACAAAAACAGAGAGGAGAGAATCACCCTCATTCTTAACACAGCCTTGATAAAGGAAGGCAGCGAGGCCTCCTGGTCTTTGTTGCTGTTGGCCACGTGATTTGCTGGTAAATACGTATTTATATGTTAAAAACAAAATAAACCACGCACAGCTCTGAGAATAACAAAAAATAAAATAAATAAATAAGTCAACATTTAGCAACTATTGCAGAAAGATTCAAAATTAGACTCGTGCTTGTGCCACACACTTGATTGGGCATTTCAGTTCTTTGCAAATTAAAGGGAAAAAAATGACACAGGTGTGCCCAGTTATATACATATATACACATATATACATATATATACACACATCTATATACATATACATACATATACATACATATATACATAAAATAATAGTATATATTATAATAATTAAATAAGTTTAATTAATATTTAAATAACCAAATAATAGTATATAATAGACATGTTATTATATATAATAGAAACAGTATATAATATAAAATATAATACAAATATCTAACAGCATTTTATAAAACATAAAATATATAGTATAAAGTATAGTATATAATAGACTGTAAATAGTATATACTTATTATATACTAATAGTATATACTGTAAATAGTATATACTGTAAATAGTATATACTGTAAATAGTATATACTGTAAATAGTATATACTGTAAATAGTATATACTGTAAATAGTATATATAAAACATAAAATATATAGTATAAAGTATAGTATATAATAATAGTATATGTAATACATATTTATATAATCTATAAATCTATAAATATATACTGTAAATAGTATATACTGTAAATAGTATATACTGTAAATAGTATATAATGGTATACAATATAAATAGAAAATGTGCCAATAATAGTACATAATGTAAATTATAAAGTTCTATAATATATATATATATATATAAAACCTATTTATAATAATAATATAGTGGTATACAATATAAATAGAAAATATGCCAATAATAGTACATAATGTAAATTATAAAGTTCTATAATATATATATATAACCTATATATAATAATAATATAGTGGTATACAATATAAATAGAAAATATGTCAATAATAGTACATAATATAAATTATAAAGTTCTATAACATATAAATATTATCTATCTATAATAATAATATAATGGTATACAATAGAAAATATGCCAATAAGAGTGTATAAGATAAATTATAAAATTATACAATATATAATAAATATTACCTATATAATAATAGTATATAATAAAAAATAATAGTATAAAATGCTGGCTATACAGAAGGGACAGTTTGCTATCCAACTCCCCTCCAGAACACTTCGGTGCCAAAAACACGCTCACAAAACCAAGGTGTGATTTTATCAGAGCCCTCCAAATTCCCAAAGCCAGGAATGAAGCCCATCCCCTCCCCGGCTGCCCAAAGCTCCTCACCTGGAGGGCAGTAGTGCCCTGAGCTGCACATCCCGCTGGGCACTCGGGCTCCTCCCGCACAGAACCAGCCTGCGGGGCAGGGCAGACACTCCTGTGCCGAGGCCAGGCCGCTGCTGTTGCTCCAGGTGCCCGGGGCACACCTGTGCTGGGTCGGGTGCTTGGTGCCAGGGGGGCAGAAGTGACCAACCGGGCACGGGGTGGGGGGTCTCTGCTTGCCCCCTGTGCCTGCAGACACCAGAGCAGCAATTCCACGTTGGCTTCACACCACCAGTTTGTGCCTTCCCTCTATTTAAAATAGCAATACTTCCTGGGATAATGACAATCTCTTCCCTTTATTTAAAACGTAACAATCATTAAAGCATAATAACAATTTAGAGCATAACAATAATTTCTCCCTCTGCTGAGGAGAGGTTGTTCTGTCACAGGACCGGTTACTAAAGCAATTATTCATCGACTCAAGGATCCTACACCATGCCCTGTAGAGACATTTAAGTGAAGGTTTCACCCAACAGTAAACTGAAAACTGTGAAATAAGAAATATAATTTAATATAAATAATATTAAAAGTAAAATTATTAACATACTAAAATTTTAATATAAATAGAAATGAAATAAACTGAAGACTGCAGTTTTGAGGTCATGAAGTTAAAGCAGTTACCATGGATGGCATAAAGAGAAAAATTCAGAGTAAAATTAACTTACCCAGTTATTGCAATCTCTGCAGTCACTAAAGGGCAACTTTTCCCTATTTCCCATCGCTGTGATACCTCACTGACCTGCTCTGGGATACCCCCAAAAACCAGAGCTCACTTTGTGCTGAGGCCACACACCTCTCCCACAGACAAATCCTGCAGGGCACGGCTCACACTGGGACTTGGAAAAGAGGTTGAAGTCGTTGCCAAGTGTTCCTGGAGGACAGGCATTGCTGGGAGAGTGAGGGCTGGATGATCCCACGGGGCACACGTACCTGAAAACACAGCAGGGCAGCTGGGACACAGGGGTTGATGCAAGAAGGAATAAAAGTCAGTGCTCTGCCAAAATATCAGGATGAAGCAGCTGGGGAAAAGCCACCACGGCTGAGAGGAACACAACTGAGCACCAGCAACGCAGAAATACTGACAGTGGAACACTGGGAACGGGCTGGTTGTGCCAGACACGTTTCACCAAGAGAAAAGTGGGTTATTCAGCCAGGTCACGTTGTTCATGGCCGGGGGATGTGTGGTCTGGCTTCGTTCTTGGCTGTTTTTACCACCTGTTCTGTGGTCCCTTCCCCCTGAACAGTCTCTGTCACACCAGAAATGCAATAAAGTCTTGACACAGAAGAGGAGTCGCTTCCCTTCACAAAGCTGAAACTGTCCAGACAGACAAAGGAGGACAAAAGACAAGCCAAGCTTACCCTGGTGAGCACTCTGAGTCAGGCTGGGCTAAGCCAGCCTGGGTACAAGCCCTCCCTGCCGGGCAGGCTCTGCAATCCGAGGCCTCATCCTGTCCTTGGAGAGGATTGTACGTCCCTGGCTGGCACGGGACTGGAAAAGTGGCTCCAGCAGGACAGAAATACCCAGCAGGGCACTTCAAACACAGCCCAGTTCCTAAAGGCAGAGAAGATGTTTGAGGCCACAGAGGGATCATGACCTGCTGAGGTCAGAGGGTCCTACAAAATCTGGTCCATTTGCTTTCACCGATGTGCTTCCAACTCAGAATATTCTGTGGCTCTGTAGGAATTTTGATGGAGGTTCACTCACAGCAGGAAGAAGGTTCCTGCCAAGCCAGGAGGTGGTGGTATTGGATTAGCTGAGTGTCAGTGGCTCATGGAAGCTGTAAAACCATCTGTTCCTTGTTCTGAGTTCAGATAAAAACGAGATACATTAAAAAATAAACAGAAACATCAGCCTGGAAACACCCTCTGCTGCAGGTATATTTAATAATCACGGTGTGCCTGGGGCTCAGTTGTAAGGGAGCCTGGGGTTTGCATGAAAGCTGAGTTGTTTCCACGTTTGCATCCTGAATACAGGGAGATGAAGGGGTTTTGCAGGCTGGAGACACTCAGCACAAACACAGGGATACCAGTTCAATCTGTGATCATCCCTAAAACCCTACGTGTTAAACACAAGGAGCTTGTACTGTAACCTGAAGGAACACCAGTGAGATCAATACATCATAAAGCAACAATCCCTTACTGGTGTTCCCGTGTTCACAAAATGCATTTCATTACAAAGTGTTCCCAAATGTTTAACTTGGGTGAAAAGGAAAACTCAAATTTAGCTCAGCAGTGGTTGCTTTTTAACAACAAACAAAGCAAACAGAGCAATTCCAGGGGAAGGCAAAACTGGCTGAGGATGGTTGTTCCCTGGGGAACTTCCAGGATGGACCCCTGCTGCCTTCCAAATGCTTGTCAAGGAGATGCTCCAGCCTCTGCAGGCTGGAATAGAGCCTTACAGCACCCAAAAAATATCAGGATTCATTAAGATCTGGGCTTCCCCCTCCCCACGTGGAAGGCACAAGCACAGATTAGGATTCCTCAGGGTGCAAAGTGAGTTTAAGTGTCATCTCTGCCTCTTCTTCCACCGACTTGCTCATTCCCACCCCTCAGGAAAATCTCATTATTTCCTCCTTATGTTCACTCTGCACAGCCCAGATGAACACAAGGTTCAAAAACCTCAGTAGGACAGGATTTGAATTTCTTCAGACTGTAAAATCCCCCAGCTCTGAGCACAGCAGCTGAATCAACACACCTGAGGGGGCTGAGCTGTGGGACTCATTCAAAACTCCCTTAAGCTGACAAAAGCTTCCTGATGTGGATCTGCAGCCCCAGCAAATCCAGAGGGACTGCTTTTTTACATAACCTGAATCCATCCCACAAGGCTACAGGGACAGAAAATGTCCATTTCTTGACACTTTCTGACGATGATGGAGTTCAAAACATAGTTAACAGTGTGGGTTCCTGGACACTTCAATGAGATCAGTGAGGGGACAGATTTACAGCAGAGAATCCCAGGATGGTTTGGGTTGGAAAGGGCCTTAAAAATCACCCAGTTCCACCCCCTGCCATGGGCAGGGACACCTTCCACTAGCCCAGGTTGCTCCAAGCCCCGTCCAACCTGGCCTTGGACACTTCCAGGGATGGGGAATCACATCTTCTCTGGCCAACCTAAGCATATCATCTCTAACCTAAGCATATTATCTATTTTCCAGGGCCAGGCTGGCCCCTGGACCTGCTGTGCAACCAGTGTGACCCAAACACACCTGGTTTCACTGAGAAATAAGTGTATCCCACTGAAGCCCCAGCAGTGCCGAGGGTGGACACAGGCTGACACCATCATCTCCCTCATGGAAGCGGGTTTGAAACATCCTCTGGCTTGTCACAGTTTATTCCCATGTCTCCTGCCTATTTTACAGCATTATCCCACCTTTGCCAAGTGTTCCCGAGGAGAGATGACAACATCATTATACAGAGCAGCACAGCTTACATTATTAAACCCAAAGAGTTTTTAAACTCTAATTTACTTTGCAGATCCTACCATGGTTTTGTTTTTTTTGTTTTTTTTTCAGATGCCACGGGCCCTGTCTCTTGAATTTTGCTGTCTTGATGAGAAGTGAGGTTTGCTCCTTGTTGCACCAGGGAAATGCACTTCTGGGTTTAATTTCAGAAGTGGGTGGAAGGCAGTGATTTCTTAGAGTGTGCTGATGAGTAAAAAAATACCATTCAACAGTCAAGGCACTTTAGCAGCTGAGTCATTTGCTAGAAAAGAAATTATCTGAGAGAAAAAGATATGGATTGATTTGAAAGGGATAATTATTTTCTTAGCACACAAGGGGAATAATCCAGTAGACACAAAGGGAAGCTGAGCACCTGAACTCCAGGTTTCTGCTCCTGGTGATTTGTGACCCCGGATAAAACACTCTGGGCTTGGGCCAAGGTTTATTTTAGTGAATTGAGCTCATTCCCTGAATCTCCCTCTATTTTCATATTTGTGCAGCACTGTTAGAGGCATTTTTAAACCATTGTGAGAGGCACTAAGACAGTCTGAAGTGCTCAAAACCAGCCTCAGCCACATGTGATTATTGCAACAGAAAGCCAGGTCTCCCCTTCCACGTCTAAGCAAAGATTCACTACCAGAGAAAACTAACAAACCTCTGTTATTCTGTCCTTTAAAATCATTTCCACCATTACTAAACTGCAAAATCTAGTTGTTTTCCAACGTTTCCCAGTCACGAGGATGACTCAGCCCCCACTGTATACAAAACAAAGTTTTACTGATTTAGAAAACGAAACCAAAACAAAAATATTTAGAAGGAAACACCACAGCTGGAAGACTGTGGGAGCCTTGTGCCTCCTGCCTTTCCTGCATTTCAGAACCTCACACACTGTTTCATCTGCTTGGCACTTTTAAACTCTTAAGGGCAGGGCTTCTCCAGCTTCTAAAGGCAGAAATTCCAGTGCTTTTTCACTGTTAAAATATCAAAGTTTCCCCTAATCTGTACCCTCATTTCCCCTGGCTGCAAGAATGGGTTGAGGATGTTGGCATTGATTCAAACCCAAATAAAGAACCCTTTCCCCAAAGGAAACCTGTGGACAACTTACTTTAAGTGTGTTACTCCTCTGTTCTCACTCATAAGAGAGCTTGAAAATGAGTCTGAGAGAGGAGATGTGCTGTGAAAGTTGACTAATAGTGTTGAAAAAGTGTCTCCCATGCAAAGCTGGCACAGCTGAATGAGCTTTAACAGGCCAGGTTCTGACTCTGGCTGCACAGGTGACCTGCTGGGTGACTTCAGCACATCCTTTCAGGCTGCTCCTTGGTTTTCTGTCCTACTAAAAGTACAATAATCACCTTTTCCTTCCACTGCAACCTCTCTGAAGTCTCTACATAGGGAGATATCAAAATGCCAGAGCCCATATCCATGAAGGCAGTTGCAGTGAAACGAGGGGATGGTGAGCACTTGTGGATGGAACAGCTCTGTAATCCCTGAACACTTCACCACCAATGTGGTGACTCAGAGAAATCCCACGGGTGTTCCTTTCATCCACAGCTTTAGGTCTCCCCGAGCCAGAGCCCAGGAAATAAGAATGTAACTGCCAGACCCTTCAAAAGGAGGGATTTAACAGTGAGAATTAGTCCTCTCACCGCCTAAAATGGATCTTTTATGACACAGACCTGGCAAGAACGAGGAGCTGCTGCTGGACGTGTCAAGTCCCTCTTTGGGCTTGAAGCTCCCGGGTGGGCACGGAGGGACTTCGAGGCCATCAGGACAGAAGTGACCTGTGGAGAATTGAAAAAAAATCCCACCACGTGGCTCAGAAGTGACATTCTGGACAACTCAGACTCTCCCTGCCTGAAAAGTGTTTCTTCCTTTTGGTAAAACTGAGAAAATTCCAACATTTGACACACCGCGACATTCTAAAATCCAAAACGTATAATGAAATTTCAAGCTAAATTGCTTAGTTTTATTAGCATCATTAGAGTTAGTTGTTCTCTCTTTCTGCTCCAATTTTTCTGCTCTCTCCAAGATCATGGGGATTAAGGATCAGCTGAGGTGTTCCTGCCCCTGCTCTAAGGGCCACGTTGCTCTCCCCAGTTCAAAACACCACCTTTCACTTAAAATCCTCCTGAGAGATGCAATGCTCACATCCACCTCGAATTAATTAAGTAAGGTTTTGTAGAACTTGATAATCAAATGGTTTACTAAACTCCAGATGGATATTTGAGGGGTAAAAAGAGAAAGAAAGGAGGACTTAACTGTGGCTTGTGAATGCTGAAATCCATTGCTATGTCCCAGCATAGCAATGACACTCTGCTCACACAGGCAGCACTAAATACAAAGATTATATATAATTAAAGTCAGTCAAACCATGAAAAAGAATGCTGGGAATCTCAGGCCTCTGCTGCTTGTGATGGGATTCAAATTCCTTATCTAAGGGCTTTGCAGCTGGGCTGGGGAACTTAGATTTAAGAACACAAGTGGGACTAATTCTAACACTGAAGCATTTAGTTCCAGCATGGGATACTCTGTACCAAAAATCCCAGGCACTGGAAATAACAGAAATCCTCTGTTCTATTCTCTTACCCCTGTGTTATAGCCATGATCTCCTGAGATCTTGGTCTACATGATCTCTTTAGTTGCTCCATTTCTCCTTCTGCTGGACAACAGGTACCCAGAGTACAGGAAATCTTCATTATTTAATAAGAGGGATTCTAATTACAGACAGAAGAATCAAGTTACTGAGCTCAGTGACTCTGCAGGAGGTTTCATCAACCTGGAGCTGCTGATGAAACCACCTTCCCATGCAGAACATCACCCTTTCACAGGCTGCCAGCTACACCACACCCCCCCCATAAGGGGTCAGGTGGGTTAGGAACTGTGAATTAAAATCTGAGGTGTGTGGAGGGAATTATTTGCAATATTGGTGCTACTTGCAGCACCAAAACTCTATTAGCAAGGACCTTATTGGAGAATGGGACATGATTTATGTGGAGGGTTCTGGGGGACACCAAACCACAATTTATCAGAGAAAACAAGCAGCAAAAAAGCTGCCCTTGGACTACCAAATCCTCACTGGGCTTATTCTCTGGGACGTACAAGGAACATGCCAGGATTTTAATGCTGCAGGAAACTCTCTCTTTATGGGGAAACTACACCAAATAGCCAGAGTTCTGAAAGGCTTATCCTGCACTCTCACTGAAGCGAGCCATAATTCCAAAATGTAATGGTTTTGCAACAAAAACCTCTTAGTCTATTCCCCTAATTCAGCACCTCAGTGACACCTCCAACAGCACACTGCAATTTCCTAAACATGGGCTTATTTGGATTTCTTTGAGAGTGTCAAGCAGAAAGAGAAATTAGGTAAGAAAATCAGTGTTCCCCTATTTGATTCCTAATGCCTACAGCTCTCACTAGAAATGGGTTCTTGTGATAGCCAGTGAATCGGGGGCCTGAAGTGGAGAAAGCTGTGTGTGTGAATCAATTTTACAGATGATCAGTTAAAAATCAGAGCGTGGGGGAGCTGCTTTCTGTGGGAGGAGAGAAAGCAGGAGCTCCCCTCGTTGCTCAGCAACATCTGCACATTCACACACCCTGCTTTCCATCCCAGGGCTGCACCAGCTGCACCTGTCCCACAAATCCAGGGGAATTCCTGGTGCTCTCTCACTTCTATTCCCTTTTCTTCGTGAGTTCCTCTGAACAGCAGCTGCTTTATCTCAGAAATCAGTTTTAACCTCCAGTTTGACTGTGACACAAGGAGCCTCTCTCTGCCCCAATAGTGGTAAGTTTTAACAGAGCCAAGTGTCATTTCAGTCCAAGTTCTAGGTTTTAATGCCTGCAAAAGGTGCCTGTGAGCTGCACTTACCTGCTGGGCAGGGCTGGCAAGGCAGAGGGGTTTCAGCTGAGGAGGAACCAGGAGCGCAGGTGACACAGAGACCAGCCAAGCAGTGCTGAGGGGAAAAAAACCCCACAAATTCATAGCACCAGGAGGTCTAATTTGGGCCATTTCTGCCCCTTCCCAGGGAGGCCTGAGCCAGGAAAAAGCCCACTACTGAATTCTGCCTTCCCTGCCTTCTCCCTTCCCAGCACTGCTTTCCCTCTATTCCCCAAGGATGATTTCTAGAAGGAGAAATGGTGCCTCCAACTCCCAGCTTTGAGCCCTCAGCTGAAGGTGTTCATGGTGGCAGATAAGCTGAGCAATAACACTGTCAGAATTTAGAGGAAAAGTATTTATTTCTTTTAAAAGAGGCCACTTGTATCAGGACAAGGTTCTTCCCCCAGAGGGTGGTTGGCACTGCCCAGGCTCCCCAGGGTTTGGTCACATCCCCAAGGCTGCCAGAGCTCAAAGGGGGGTTTGGACAATGCTCTGAGGGACAGGGTGGGATTGTTGGGGTGTCTGTGCAGGGCCAGGGGTTGGACTGGATGATCCTGATGGGTCCCTTCCAGCTCAGGGTATTCTCTGAAGGTCTGAGACCTACTGCACCACTGAAGTGTCTGGAATGCTTCTCTTTGATGAGGCAAGATCCATATCCTACTATTAAACTCAGGGAGTCTGTCCCTGCTTGACAAGACCTTCATGTTCAGGCCCTGCAAGTGCAGAGGAATGACAATTTTACCCTTGGAGCAGAACATGCTGGTTCTGTACCTGTCTGCTCTGTCCATCTGGGCAGACGAATCTCTCTGGACATTCCTGACACTCCAGCTCTCCCTCTGGAGAGTACTGGCCAGGCCCACAGCTCCTCTGGACACCGGTGTGGGGATCACAGGAATATCCCTCAGGACATGCTCTGCAGCCAGCTCTGCTCTCCAGGCTGAGATACCCATCAGGACAAACCTGCAGGGACACCACAGGACCCATGTGAAACAGCAGCTCCAGGCATCCTCAGGAAGAAAAGATCCTGGATCATTCTCAATATCTGCCCTGTGTGCTCCTGAGAGTTCCCCACGTGTGGTTTTTCCTGCCAGGAAGGATAAGCAATGCATGGATACCTGGAGGGACAACCTGCTTTCCCTGAGCCAAATCAGAGACAAAAACAGGGCAGGAGCTTCCTGAAAAACTTTCAAAGCAGACTTCAAAATCTGGAAGAAGCCTGAAATCAAATAATTCAGAGTAGGTGTAAGAAGCACTATTTCACCTCTTGCTCTCCTGCCCTGTCCCTCAGCTCACCTGGCAGGCTGTGATGTTTCCTTGAGCAGTCAGCTCATTGGCAGTTCCCAGTGGGCACTTCCTTGGAGCTGCTTGACCTCCAGGGCAACTGGATCAAAAATAGGGAAGTTATAAAATTACGTTCTTTAATTTCTTTGAAATTCCATCCCAAATCAGCCAGGATGGGTGTTGTTTAAACACAGGAACATCCCCCCCTCACCCACTGCTCAGACAAATTGTTTTGGCCACAGAAATATGGATTTGTGAATCAGAGCTTTCCAGAACCTCAGGGGGTTGTAAAGGACATGCAGGAGTTCAAGGAGCATCCCTTGGACTGCACACACAAGGACAGAATCTGTGATAGAAGATGTGGCAGCCTGAACTCAGTTAGTACAAAACCCGTCTTCCATAACCTGCTTTGAGACTGTGCCTGAGAACTCTGCTGTCATGGAATCACAGAAACATTTAGGTTGGAAACGACCATGTCTGCCCTCCTTCAAAAGTGCAGAAAGCCCTGCACAGCATTTTAAATCAGACTGGCTTTCCTGACCAGCTGATTATTCATATGTAAGAAATGACACCACGTGGGGTTTTTTTTGTGCCTCACCCCCCGATAAGGTACAGTAGGAGATAACTCTCAGAATTTTCTGAATGTGAAATGTCCCAAATTTTTAACTTTCTAATTTCAGGAGTGTGAGTGCTGAGCAGGAGGGAAGGAAGGGCACTCACTAGAAACCTGTTGGACACTCCAGGCAGTTTCCAGCTGTGTAATAATGCCCCTGCCTGCAGTCTATGACACAGTGGCTCTGGCAGTCCATGCTGCAACCTGCTGAGGGGGAAGAGGCCCCTGGAAGGAAGAGAAAGAAATAAATCTAAGGTACAATGAACAAACATCAAGACTTCAAGCTAAATGGCCAGTTATTATTACACCATGGTGGAATATCACTATTTCCCTGCCCATTATCACACTCATTCTCAAGTTTTGGTGGTTAAAATTAAGTAAAGGTTCCTCTTCCAGAATTGAAACCTGTCCCTTTAAGATTTCTAGGTAAATATTCTGAGCACAAAATTCTGGGGGAAATCCCAATTTTTAGACACTTTATCAAACTAAACCATCTGCCCTCTGTAAGCAGCAGAGAGCCTTTTCCATGTCTTTATCAGCTTCAGAAAAGCTTATATTCTGTTTGCCAGAAGGCTGAAAAACTCAGTTTTCAAGAGAGTGAAAGCAGCTCAGATGGGAAGAGCCAAGGGGTGAAGGAGGTGCTGCACTGTTGTGTAATTTCATAATTTCAACCAAGATTCTACTTCTTTCTCTGCTTCAGCTCTTCAGTCCACACAGTAAAGGCAGATTTCTCTCCCTCCTCCTTAGAAAGTCTCTTGACTTCATGTTCTACAAAAGGATGGTGACAAATCCTTCACAAAGAACAAGGTACCCAAAACCTGAACCTAAAGAATTGAACAAACACTGAGTTATTTCCCTTTTTGCACTTCCCACCATCAGATTTAGATTCTGGTACGAAACTGTCCGACTGAATTCCTTTGTTTTTTCAAAAGTGAGCTTCACTATGGCAACCACGAGGATTTCACATGAAGTTCCTCACAAAGTGCCTGAGCAATGAAACCTGAGTGTGCAGGGTGGGGAGGAGACTTCCAGGCTTTGTTTCCCTTTGTTCCACACCCCAATAAGCACCTTGGTATTAATTATTGTTACCTGAACACACTGAGATGCTCTTTTTTTTTTCTTCTTTCTTTAGTAAATTAAAACCTCTTGCTGAATGCATCCCTCACCTTCTCCCGAAGGAGAGAAAGATTGTGCATAAAAAAGATGGTGCAGCCAGAGTTTATGACCAGAATGAGCTGAACAAGTGCCATCTTTAATGCCTTGCAGCTCTGAGAAGGTAACTGCATCAGCACCAACTAAAACCAAACTAAACAAACAAAAAGCTATAAAGAATTCTGCCCGTACAAGAAAGTTTCCCACTCACCTCTCAGGAAGATCCTGAGGCTACAGAACACAACGAGCCAACTCAAAGCACGAGCCATGGGAGCTTGTCAACAGTTCTTAAAAAAAAAGAAGAAGCTCAAAGCTTATGTTTAAAACGCTTCTTGAGCATCCGACGCTGCCTTTGTCGGAGCTCGGGGTAACCCGATCCCTCCCAGGTAAGCACTGCCCAGCCCAGCCCACACCGAGCTGCTGGGAGAGGGGATGGACGAGGAGTTAATCCCATGGAAACCCCCCTGCAGCAGCACTGCCGAGGCTCAAACGTGAGAAAACTCATCTAAGCAGGAGATAATGGACCCCTTCCTTCGAGCATCCGCGGGGCAGGAAGCTTGAAAACACACTTATCTCACAGATCTGTCCAACTGCCCAGCAAGTTCACCCCGTAGGGTCACAAATGGCTTTTTTGTCTTCAACACCCAGGTGAAATATTCCCTGTTTGCCAGCTATTTGTTTTGCAATTTTAGGGGTTTTGCTGGAATCTGAAAACGCAGACAAACTCTTTCTAAAGCAGGATTCTCCCTTGTAGTGGTCACTGTGCATTAGTTTTTCCTTTCCCAGGGTAACCCTTTGATGATGCACAGGCTGGATGTTATCAAAGCTGCAGCAGTGCTGGGCACTGGGGGGGGATTGCTTCCAAGTTTCTCAGAATCACAGAATGGTTTGTGTTGGAAAGGACCTCAAAGATCAGTTCCACCCCCTGCCATGGGCAGGGACACCTTCCACTAGCCCAGGGTGCTCCAAGCCCCCTCCAACCTGGCCTTGGGCACTTCCAGGGATGGGGCAGCCACAGCTTCTCTGGGCAACCTGTTCCTGTTCTTCCCCACCCTCCCAGGGAAGGATTTCTTCCTAATATCCAGTCTAAACCTTCTCTCTGTCGGTTTGAAGCCATTCCCCCCTGCCCTGGCACTCCAGGCCCCTGTGAATGGTCTCCCTGTGCCAGTTTCCCACTGACAGAATTCCAGTCCAAGGCAGGTTGTTGGGTCACACAGAATTGACTGGGGAGCACCACTGTCCAAAACACAAAGAGATGCTCATTCCTCCATCCCACAGGAGTGTCTGTGGAGAAACCTGTGCAGCTCCTGCTCACTTCTGGAAGCCCTTCTGGAAGGAGCTGAGGGCAACTGCAGAGCTCAGTGAAAGCAAAGCTCCTGTTGGGATGGGCAGTCCTGCCACACACACACACACACACAAGGAATGTCACTCTGTGGCTGCCTGACTTCACCTCCTGAACAAGACCTTTGTAATTTGGACCAGAACATGAAGTGCATGTTATCCTTGAGCTGTACAAGTCCACTGGTGAAGGTTATGGACAACAGGAGGCAGGAGAAGCTCTGACCATCATGGAATGTCTACAGAGGGGCCTCACGCCTGCCTTCCCAACTAGCAAAGCACCATCTGTTGCACTTTATAAAGACTTTAATTAAACTCCTCCACTAGAACTCAGATGTGTCTTTTCTTCCTATTCTACAACTATTCCTGGAAATCTCTGCAATTATCTTATATTACAGACAAGAATTGCCAATTAAAACCTAATCAACACAGTGTAAAGGCAGGCACCAGGCCAAGTGCTTCTAATTTTCTTCCCATTCTCGACCTGCTTGTCCCTTGTACTTGAGAAAGTTCAGAAAAGATGGGAGGTGCAATGGGAGGCAGAAAAGATAAGAGAAATGGTTTGATTCACTTTGTTTCCAGTTCCCTAATTAACCGTGGAACGCTCAGATTTATGCAGAGATAACTCACAGGTCAAATTCCCTCCTGTGACACGTAGCAGAATAAGGCAGAGGAGGATTTGCTGTTCTGAGGGGTGAAATCCTGACCCTGTGATTGAAGATGGTCCTTCCTCTGATCAGCTGAACTGGAGCTCTGAGGGAGTTGGTGACTTGCTGCACATCACACACCCATCCAGTAAAGCACAAAGCCATCAAGGACCCCCAGTTCCAAACACAAACCCCCTCAGAACAGGTTGTGATTCACGGGATCCAGGCCAGTTTTAAATAATCCTACTTCCACTGTCTCCTGCTGTTAGCAACAAGAAAAATCTGCCCTGTTGTACTTCTTGAGAGAGCAGAACAACCTGGGACTCCCTCCAGGACTCTGGGATTTGGTTTCACACAGCAGCAGCATCATTTATCCCAAACATCCCACATCCTGCCCAGTTTACACTCCTGGTAAGCCACAGCCATCTATTCCTGCCTATAAAGAAAACTTGCTATTATTTCATCCTCTTCTGTCGAGAAACAAATAGACACAGATTGAATTATAAATCAGTTCACAGGAGTGTGACTATGGCTCCAGCAAGGGAAATAAATAGGCATGTCTTCTTCTGCATTGCTGGCTTTGGAGGCCTCCCAAGGATCAGCATATTCATCCCTCTGGGATACAAATAGCTCAGCTTCCAGCACTGACATGCTCATCTTCCCTCCACTCCACTATTGCTCCAGCAGACCTGACTGGATTTGGAAAAGCTCTGATTTTTCTTGAACTCTTTGGTCAGTCCTAAAGAAACCAGTCAGCCCTGTAATATTTGTAGTCCTTAAAAAAAAGAACCAAAACGGGGAGGCATCATTTTTTTTTTTGGTGATTTGAACACCTTAATAAAACGTTCTGCTCAGCTCAGTGGCACCAGTGACAACCTCCCAGGGGTGGAAGAAGCAGCACCTCCTGCCCCAGGGCAGGGAAATTGGGGGTGAAGGCACTGGAAGGCACGGGGGTGACCTGCAACCTCTGCAGAAAGCTCCAATCACTCACCCTGAAATTGGTTTCCATTTCCACACAGGCGATTTTCCTCAGCCATCAAACCCGATAAAACGGCCTTTTTCTCTAAATGAAAAATATGCAAATACCCCAAAATTGCACAGCTCGTTTCACCTACAGCAAAGTCTTCCAAGGAGAAAGGGGGAAGGAGCCACAGGCAGCTCAGAGCTGGGGGAGAGGCAGGAGCTGGAGATCACACTGGGAATGATTTTGTTATTTATTTGTTAGATATAAGTTCTGGTACTACTGACAGCTTATAGAGACTTCAGTACAAAAGGAAAAGATCCTTTTGTGACTTTGAATCTAAAAGTTCTTGTACAGGAGCAGCAAGGACATTTCAACTTAAAACCACCACTTTGTTTTATAAAAGGGCAGGATTGGCAGTGATGGGTGAGGGAGGAGCCTCCCCCCATCCCCTTCCTTCTCTTTTTCCTCCTTTTTTCATTGTTATTATTACTATGCAGATAGTGCTACTCAGAAACCTGCAGATTAATACATTAAAATTCCCCTTTTAAAGCTGCAAAGTCAGGGCTACATCTTTCCTGCATGCATATACATAAATACACACCCTCTCATAAAAAATAACTCTGCAAGTGCCTTCCAATGACACCCATAAACCACCTGAATAATCCCCCATGGGTCTGGGGGCAGCTGCAGTGCTTCCCTTCTGTGCATCCCAGCGACCTGGTAACACCTTGGAGAGAAAGAGGGGGTTGAGTATCCCAAAACAACAACACTTGCCAACAGAAAAACCCCACAGATATTTACCTGTTGTATAGTCCTGGGGCACGTTGAGCACAGAGAACAAAAAATATGAGGTTTAGTGCGAGCCAGTCATTTTCAATGACACGTTAAATACATGTAAACACCATCAGAGAATAGTTTGGGTTGGAAGGGACCTTAAAGATCTTGTAGTTCCAACCCCCTTCCTTGGGATGGAACAACAGACACACAGTGTTGGGCCATCCTTCCCAGGGAGCTGGGAGTTTTTCCCCTCCTGCAAGAAACTGCAGCAGTCAAGCAGCAGTGTAAAATCACAGCAGAGCTTTATTTGGCACACTAAGCCCCATCCCTACTAAGCTTACACAGTTAAATGCCAGATTTACAAAGGCAATAAACTATATAGAGGAAAATTTGATGGTGTGACACAGGAAAAAAAATCAGACAAGCCAGACCTGCAGACAAATTTAGATTAAGATGCAGCACAGCTTTCCCAGTCACCTCCAGCAACACAGCAGAGAAGGCCCATGGAACTGGGGAGGGATAAGCAGGCAAAAAAAAAAAAGTAGGGAATCATTGGCCCAGAGAAACCAACAGCCAAAATTCCTGAATTTCTACAGGGCCGAGATTTCACACACCACTGCATTTAACCAGCATCAAACCTGCTTTTATTAAACCCAACTTTGGAAGAGACTGGTGGAACCGACAGCAAATAAGGAAATGCTGCTGTCTCAACAAAAGCTCACAGGAACTCAAGTACAGACACAGTGTCAGGGGCAGTGAAGACAGACAAAGGCACTCAGCCAAGAAGGATGGCTGGGAAGAGCTGTCTGAACCACAGGTGTTCACAGCTCAAGAGAAAAATGTTGATAAAACCAACCATTAATTTCTCTCAGCCAGACAAGATGTGCTTGTTTTGCCCTGTGCCTGTTGATTAATCAATTCTGCCTCCTGCACCACCTCAAATCAAACTTGGAACGCTTTGTTAACTGTTGCAGCCCAGGTCAGAGCATTTATCCCTTGCCATGCCTCTGCCAAGGGTTATCAGGAAGATGAGAGGGGCAGGGACAGAGTGACCCCTGCCTTGGGGTGCCCTCCCACAGCCTTTGCTTCTCCTCTGGCAAACACATCCTTAGGAAACTCAGCCCAGGAGATTGTCACAGGGCAAGCAATGCCTCCAAAATGCTTCCCCAAGCCCATTTGAACACGGGGGGGATTTCTGTTGGTGCCTTCTGCACCCTGGGAAGATCCAGGCAACGTCTGCTGAAGTGATTACGTGATTATATTGCAATAAATGCAAACACCACTCTGGTGAGACACTGCTGAAAACCTCATATTTCTTTGTGTTATGTATTCAAGAGAAGGGGACAGGAAAGGCTCAACCCCTTTAGATCTCTGTATAGATCCAAAGCCCAGAGTTATGAAAGGTTCTAAAGTTATGAGGCCCATAACCCCTCACATCCAGTTGTGCCCATCAGCATTTGTAATTCTTGGTGTCTTCCAGCTCCTGAGCCTGATTAACATCCCCCAGATTTGTTGTTAAAAAGCACATCTGAAAACATCCCCAGCTAATGCTTCAGTTCCACTGCTGGAAGGAGCAAGAGCCTTAATAAATGTGTTTTGTGCATTGCTGAAAAGTGAATAAACAGGGAAAATGGGACCACTGTGGTTGAATTCACACTCCTGCATCTTGCTTCAGCAGGAGGATTGGATCAGAAACCCTTCAGAAAACAAAATTTGGGTACAGAGAAACAGAGTTTGGCCACCAAACCAAGCTGGAGGAAGCAAGACAGATGTGCAGAGGGTTTGCCAAAGGCACCAAGGGAGGCACTTTTGAATGTGGAGAATTAAGGCTGCAGCTCTGTTGGATGCCAGGGCAATCCCAGGCTGGAATGAGCCCAGCCATGTGGCAAACATTTTGGAAACACAACACAGGAATTTCTACAGCTTCACTGCACAGCACCTGAAGGACTGGTCAGATGCTTTGGCCAAGTGGAGTTGTTTGGCTTCTCCCTGAGCTCCAAGGGCCCCAAATCCTTTGCTGTCTCCTGTCCAAGCTAAAGCAGACAAACCTGGGAATTCCCTGGAATGAGCACTGGAGTTCTGACAGGCAACAGTGCCCAGAGGTTGGCACAGAGCACAGCAAAATGAGCAGAGCTCGTGAGGTGCACAAAGCAAACTGCACAGGAACAAAGGACTGGAGTCCAGATAACCCAACCCTTCCATTCCCAGATAACCCAACCCTTCCATTCCCAGATAACCCAACCCTTCCATTCCCAGATATCCATGAAGCAGCACAGGTGGTGCAGAAAGGATCACAAGCTTGAAGGCTCCTTCCAGCCCCAGATCTCCCTCTAGGAGAACCTGCCCCACGTTTTGTTGGCAAACAAAGCTGCTACTACAGCAGAAAAGCAGAGGTAGCTGCTGACTCCAAGAAAACTTGTATTTTAAAGTGCCCCACCACCACTCCCGTTATTGCTTTGCCTCTATTCTTAATTAATAAAATTACAGGATTAAGTACCAAAACAGAGGCATCAGCATAATCATCAGAGATTTGAATAAGGCATTTGTCCTTTCAAAGAACAAAGTGTCTTCTTGCAGAGGACAGGAAAGTTTAAAGCCTAGTAGTACATCCTCTCAAAATCAGGATCAATTCTGTCACCCAGAAGCAGCAGAAGTAACTCTTTTTTAAGCCCTGCCAAGACCTTGCAGAAGATTTTAGCAGGGAAATTGCTCTGTGTCAGAAGTCTCCAAGGCCAAACAGGCAGCTCAAGGGCCAGAGCCTAGAAAGGAAAAGAGAGACTGAAGTGAGTGCCAGCAACAGAATGTGAAATGATTGAAAGGAATTCTGGACAAGATTAAAAAAAAAAAAAAGGCTTTCAAGACATCAGGCTGGTAATTTATCAAAAGCTGCAAGTGTTTTATTAAGGGACCTCACATAACCCATCAGAGGCATTAATGATTGCTTGCTCTCTTCATCATAAAGCACCGAAAAAAGGGATGTTTCTAATGGAATGCTCAGATCCAGATTAAAGCCAGGAACGGCTTTGACACGACAGGAGAGATGAAACAAACACCTCCAGCCAGGAGGAGAAAACTTCAGGCCAGTTGTGTCCCATCAGGAATGTCACTGAAAATCAAGAATATTAAATAAGCACACAATGTCCAACTGCACCTAAAGGGCACCTACTAAAACTAAACTCCTGTCAGGACATATTGTCTTTATCTTCTTCAAGCCAATATGTACCACCATGGGATCCCAATTTCAGGGTCTTGTGGCTTGGACTCCTTTTGCAGCCCTGAAAAAGGTGCTTGGATTCTGATTTATCCCTGGAAGTTCCGTCCAGCCTGCATTGTAGGAGTACAGTTTGAGTCAGAGGTGCTTTGTATCAACTAGATTTGATAAGTGTTAGATACACTACTGATTTATCCTCCCCAGAGTGCCCAAAAATCATTATTTCTCATTTCCAAGCTTAAACACTTGAATGGCCACTTCATCTTACTTTTACTTGCTCTGAGAGTGCCAGAAAGCTTCAGCACTCATGAAAAAAGTACTTAAAGCCCTGAAGGTTGGTCCAGGTGTGCAGATTCCATCCTTCCAAGCACCTGAATGAGGATGTAAAACCTTCTGTTCGCTTCTGCCACTGACTTTCTGAATCTCAACCCTATTTTTCCAGGGGGAATATGTGGCACAGCCAAGCAGGGCTACATCCAGTCTGCTTCCAGGGAACTGAGGAGATGAAGCTTCTTCACTTGCCTTAGAGAAAGCTCTAAAGCTATTGTTAAAATAACTTATTCCTTGGAACAAAGGCCGTGCTCCATATAATAGGTTTTTTTTTTTTCTTCTGTGCTGTTGAGTCACTGTCACTCAGCAAGCAGCACTCAGAAGTTCATTTGAGTTTTCCCTGAACTATTTTACAGACTTAAAAAGGGAAGACATTTAAGCAGGGAGCACATCTCTTAACTGGTGGCACTTCTTAATGGGGAAACTGGGAAAATTCTGCAGAGCGAGACATGAAAAAAATCTCAATTTCTAAACTCTACTACCTGTCATTTAAAAAAAAAAATTAAAAATTGCTCAAACAGAATCAAAGATCAAGATCATAAGTGTTTCTAGCACATTCTCAGAGCTGTTGTATTAATTTTCAAACTCCCTCCTGTCACCCTGAGTAACCTCCACAGTAAAGACCTGGTGAGGCAAGGCACCAAATGTATTTGGTTTTAAACACCTGTGTGTGCATTTGGGCTTTGTGGCACATCCTCACCTGCCAGGCACTAATATATCCTCCCAGTTCACTCCCTCTGGATGCTCTTCCACTATCCCTCCTTTCCCACCCACTCAAGTTGCATCTGTCCCCAAAAAAATGACTGCAGGAAGCAAAGCATTTGATAAATTTATAATCAGTAGCCAAATACACGTGGAATATTGAGGCACATTTGATATAAATACACGAAGGAAGAACTTTTTCAGGGTGCTGTGAGGTGCTAACCAAGGTACACACCCCCATCCTTTCAAACACTGACAACGTGTGGTTAGTTAAGGCACATTTCAGCTTTAAGGGATTTACCTTAACACGGCCAAAAGTCACCTGGAGTTGAGTGGTTCTGCTCCATTAGATGCCCAGTTACCTTCCAGAAGCTGCAGTGCTGCAGATGCACCACTAAAAGCTTTTACAGCCCCTCCTTTTAGTGCCTCGTGTAAGATCAGAGAACATTCAGCACGGCAGGGACCAGCCCCAGAGCTCCCAAACTAAAGGGCCTCCTGCTCTACCTGAACATTTCCTGCCAGCACCCACTCCCAGCTGCTGTTTCACCACAGAACTCATCAAATGCATGAGATGCAGACATGTATTACCCCATTAACTCCTCCAAAAAAGCCATTTCCCTCCAGCAAGCCCGGATGGATTGTTTGCCGTTTCCATCCAGCACAGCACAAGAACAGCCCCACAGTGGCTCCTCTCAGTGAACATTTAATCCACTCAAGTGCTGCATTTCAGGCTCTTTGTGTGCTCCTTGAAGTCAGGGCGTGTTATAAAGAAGAAACATTCAGCCACAGGCTAAAACACCCTGCACAGCCCTTCAGACAACAGGGAGACAAGTGAACACAGTTTTAAACATTTGTGTGTGCATTTGGGCTCTGTGGCACATCCTCACCTGCCAGGCACTAATATATCCCCCCAGTTCACTCCCTCTGGATACTCTTCCACTATCCCTCCTTTCCCACCCACTCAAGTTGCATCTGTCCCCAAAAAATGACTGCAGGAAGCAAAGCATTTGATAAATTTATAATCAGTAGCCAAACTGTCCCATAGATCTTTACAAGACCATCCCAAAATAGGTCTTATAAATAAGACAGATTTGTAGTCACATCTGGAGGTAACTGACTGTCTTGTTTCTTTCTAAGACCAAGGCTTGGCTTGGGAACCAGCCCATGGAATTTTTTTTTTTCAATCCCTGTTTAGCCTAGCATGAAATTGTTTTCCAGGTAGTGATTAATTCTGCTGCAACTTTTCCCCTTGTTGGGTAATTTGCTGTGTTTGAGGAGACTCTGCTGAAGCACAGCTTCCCTCTTATCAGCAGTGTCACAACAGCTGGGGCCAACAAGCCCTTTGGCATCTCCTGTCACAGCATATCTCTGTTCCTGGGGATTTGAGGCAGTAGTTTAGCTCCTCTTAAACAAAATGGACAGTATCTAACATGAAGGAATGGTTGTCAGCTCGCTCGCTATTAGAAAGAAAAGGTTTTGCAGCAAAGGCTTTTTGATTTGGTTCTTTATCATCTCATGTTCACTGTAAAGTGCAGACTCAGTACCTGCTTCTCCCTGGTCTGCATTCTTTCCATTTTAACCTGCACTTCCCTTACAAAAACAAAACCATGCACCTTTTCAGAACAATTCATCTCTCTTATCAAATGAACCAAATGTGGGGGTTTTATAGAGGGGAGGAGCTGTGCTTGGGTTTGTACCCTGCAGTGTTTAACCCCCAGGTAAGATTCCCTTGTTCTTGCAGTGCAATCCCAGTTTCTGTATTTCCCTCACACTTGTTTTCTCTTTGTCTCAACTCCTTATTTATCTCCATTCAGCCCCTTCCTGTTGCAGCATTGCCATTCCTGCCTTACTGTTCCCTGCTGTGGCTCTGATCCCTCCTCCTTCCAGCCACCACCAGTTTGGGTCTGATTTTCCTACTCAGCTGCCACAACTGGAAAAACCCAAGGAGATTCTGTCTGACTATGGGAAGAGGTTTCTGACCTGAGCACAGACTTTATAGGAATCACATCTTTCCAGGAGATCATGCAGCTGACTTCCAATTTCTTGATCATGATTTCTGCTGAACAAAGCTCCCAATGAACTTATTTCCTACGCTCCAGGATCACTTTGACCCATTATTTAGCCATGGCAACAGGCCTGGCCATTTTCTTTAACACTTGGCAACTCATTTATGTGCCAGTAATCCAGTTTTATTCACTCTTTTAGCTATTCTTCACCAGGAGCAAGGAGGGCAGAAGTGAGCCCTTATTTATTGAAAAGCCCTCTGCATTAAGACACTTTTCACCAAAATAACCCCAAATCTTACAGATGAGACTTTTCCCTCACCACATATCCCTTGACCACAACCTCTTTGGAAATATGAACCCTGAAAGACTTCTGAGTGTTAGAATTCTGCAGGCAGCCAAGCTCTTAGAGGAGGAAATGTCAGACTCTAATAGCTGAGCTCACTTCAAATCATCCAACTTACCTGGAAAGACTGTTGGACCAATTTCCAAGAATACCAATCACACACTCGATTCTCTTACTGGAAATTCAAGGAAGAAAAGGAGTATTCAGTGAAATGTCACGGAGTGAAAAGCGTCTGATAAGGAGAAAAAGGACTGAGACCAACACACTTGTTTTCTCTTGATATTTACCCATTTTGTTTACAGCTGAAAAATGAATCTCAATTCCACTTCAAAAATCAAAGCATTTTGTATTTATGGCGGGTTTTTTACTGTTTTCCTTTAAAGCCACAAAGATACTCACAGAGAATTTCCTGTGAAAAAGATGCTTTTCACTCTCATTGTTCTCCCTTCCTCATCCCCCTTGGAGTAGGGAAAAAAAATAATAATTTCAAAGCCAGCTGTAAACACAATTTGTATTGGGAACATTTACTGCTTTAATTATTGTTTGCACATGAAGTTTTTGAGAGCATCCCTCTCAGGGGGCAGCTGCAGGAGAGAGAAAGCCCATGGGTTTGTTCTCAGCTCACTCCTCAGGAGTTCCACCAACACTCAAACCTGAAATCCAGGTCTTGGGATACAGGTGATGTGTCTGTCCTGCACAACGGAGGGTTCAGATTTTCCCTAAAAATCAAACTGAACAGGGAAGGATAAGGTTGTACAGATATAAACCAAGGCTCAGCTGGGCTGTAAAACACAACCAGGGGGGTTTGCTGAGCAGCAGCTGGAGACCTTTGCAGTGCCTTGTTCTGCAGGACCAGCAAAATCTGCCTCTTCTCCTCTTGGCTTGAGGTTCCATCCTCATTTAACACGTTCCTCAATTAACAAAGCAGATCAGGTGAGGAGGAATGTACAACTCCCTTCTTAAAGCCTTTCCAAAGCCTCCCCAAATAATTCAGCGCAGGTTTCTAAAGCTCTGCAGAGTCAGAGCAGAGCCAAAATGCTCTGCACAACCACCAGCTGCTGTGGCTTTTGTTGAAGAAACCAGTTTGGCTTTGAACTTTGCTTTCCCCCAGTGCTCCTTTGAGAGGCACAGCAGAGAACAGCAGGCTCTGCCCTGCACCACCAACCCCAAACAGGCACTGCCAGCCTGTAAAATCAGGCTGACAAGGGGAAAACAAACAGGTCTCCCACCAGAAGCTTTAGATCCCTGGATCAGCAGCTGATATTTGAGGGAAAAAAATGCCCCAAAAAAGTCAAGGCAGCATAAGATAAATGCAAAAAATCAGCATCTGTGAGGTACCTGCAAAAATCAGCTGTTGCTTTTTCAAAAGTCTGTATTAGCTATGCCATTAACTTTGCCACAAATGCCTCTAGAGTCTGAAGTAGACGAATTATTGGAGGATTGATGCTTGAACAAGTGAGAAGTGTTTCTCTAGTGCTGGTTTGGCTGAGCTGCCATGGTGATCCCATCACTTGTTTTCATACCCTGCCTTCCTTTTGACATTGCAATCGTGGCAAGGTCAGGAATTGAGACCCTCCACGAGATTGAACTGCAGCCTAATTGTCAGCTCAGAAAGCTCCACGTTGAGACAAAGGCAGAAAAACACAGCTCTGAGAGCTGGGCCTGGGAGGTGTTGGCAAGGAAAGGACCCTGAGAACGAATTGTATTCGGGAGAAGCACAAGAGAATCATTTTCAAAGCAGGGGGTCTCATTTGCTTCTTCAGTCTGGGGTTTCATTTGCTTCTTCAGTCTCTACTTTTGCACACCAAGACGTGTGCCACCAGCTCAAAAGCCATTTCAGCACCAAATATGTCAGAACAGGAAAATTACAGTTCTGACTCCCACCAAATTGGGAGCAATCCAAGCTCAGAAGAAAAGGTGCTTTATTTGCTGGATGGCACAGCAGGTATGGAAACCCATCTGTTTTGTAGGCAAAAAGAGCAATTTTTAATCATCCAAAAGAACACAGTGGTTGGGGAGAGAACAGCAGCAAGGGGCCTAAAGAGAATTTAAAAGCCTGCTTTTGGAGAGTGCTCTGCATTTTAGCTAATATAGAATAAACTGCCCTTCAAATACTTGAGACCATTGTGTAGCAGTGAAGCCTTGCAAGAGCACAATCAAAATTCCACTCCCAGTCCCTCAAACCTCTCCAGCTGGTCCAAACCCAGTGGGTTTCCAGCACAGCTCAAATCCAGAGCCACACACAACAGAGGAGAGAAATCCTTGCTCAGGACAGGGGGCTTTGCAGGTCTGGATGAGTCCAGAAAAGGCTCCAGCCATGAACTTCCAGACAGCTCAGGAGTCAAGGGGAACAGCAGTAAATACCTGGAGAAGGCTCCTGCTTCTCACCACTGCTGGAAGAAACCCAGCAAAGCCATTTGCTGATGAATGTATGGGTTTGTAGAGCAACTCAGCAACTGATAAATGGGAAAATACAAGCACCCAGGGCAAAGTTTAAATTTAAACAACCTCCAGAATCAACTACAAACAAACCTGTGACCGGTGAAGAGAGGTTGAAGGGGTGGAATGCAATATTTCCCTGCTGCAGTCAGATACAAGGCTGTATTTAGAGCAGGATTAGCAAATTACTGAGCAATCCCCAAAACAAAACATTGCAATAATCAATGCCTTCAGCAGCAAAGGCCTGAGCTAAGCATTCTGCTCTGATAGCATTTATTCAGTCCATTATTTCTGAGATATTGTGTCAGCAAAGGGAAAGCAACTCAGTTATTTATCTACAAACACTTGCTCTGTGCAGATGAAGATTTGTAAATTGTTTTTTTTTTCTCCCAAATAAACACTGTGGTAAAGGCAGCTGCAGGAAAAAAACATTAATAATAACAGTAAAATAATCAATCTCACACAAGTAACGTATTCCCAGATGGAAGGGAAACAAAACAGGCTTTTTACCTGTATTACAACAACTCCTGCCCCTGCTATGCCTTTCCAAGCTTTCACAAATGAAGAGTTTCTTTGGAATTAGAAATCCCTGCTCAATTACTACACATTAGAACAACTCCACACTCACACTAATGAATTGGCTTTCACTAAAAGCATATTTTCTATAGTATTTTCTGCTAGAGGTGTGTATTATGGTCTCAGCTGCCTAATTTTCCCGAGGCAGGATGAGGTATTCCTGAAAATTTTACATTCAGTGATGTGAACACAGGAACATGGCAGTATTTAGAGGAGTCATGTATTTATTTACAGCCACATAAAGGAACCACACAGACCATGCACCAAGATTTGTGCAGTGCCCAGAAAAACTCAGGGGATTTTTTAATAATTTTATATTACGTGACACAGAATTCTGACTGCAACCAAACTGAAAAAAAACAAAAAACCAACATCAAGCAGCTTCTCTTCCTTTCCCCACTGTCCAACATTCCCTCTGAACTAGTAATCCAGCTGGAAATAAAGAATCAGAGTAGCTCAGGATTTAAACCAAGTGGCAGCAGAGAAGCATCAGTGCAACCCTACGGGGTCAATAAAGGAGGAGAAAAACTCAACCAGGGAATTTTCATCACTGGCAAGTCCTTGGTTAATCTGTGAGCTGATTCCCACATCCATGGACTCTTTTTTTGTGGCTCTTTGTCACCAGCCTGGTTAAGTTTAGTTGGTAAAGTTCAACCATTCAGAGCTTTCTGAGACATTCAAAAGTTAAAAAAAAAAAAAAAAAAGTGGCAGTGTTTAAGTCTCTTTTCCACTCAAAAATCCAGCAGAGACTCCCCGTGACTGAGCTTGCTTTTAAGGGATTATAAACCCAAGTGCAGTTAACCCGGAGCATTACACCGGAGTGTGAAATCCCAGCGTTCTTCCCTGGTTCCAGCAGCCCATCCCTCCCCTCCATCCCTCCCAGGAGCAGTGCCGCTGGGTGAGCCACACACGGGCCCTGCTTTTTGCTGCAATCTGTAATTTAACAACCACCACCAAAAAAAAACAACCACCTGCCCGGCTGGGTCAGGGGGAGAGCTTAATGCTTTAATTGGCACTCATTTGGAGCGGGTCATTACAAAGGCAGCACTTTGTGCCTGGTTTTCCAGCCCATCCGACCTGGGATCAAGCAGGGACAGTGATTACCCAGCCCGGGGCAGCTCCGTCCTCACAGACACGGGGTCACGGGGGAACAGAGCAGAGGGGAAATGCTTTTGGGTTCCTTGTTTCCCCTCTAAAGCAGCCCCACAGATGGATTTTCACCGGCCAGCACCTCCAGCAAAGGGATGTGGAGAGCAAATCTTGCAGGGTTGTTACTCCCAGGTCACCTCCTTCCTGTAGGTACGTTCCACTGCCCTCAGGAATTCCCTCTGTTCTATTAATCTCAGAGATGCTCTGTTTCAAATGGGATTTTTTTAAAGGTATTGTTTCCATTAGTAGTGCCCAGTATTTTCTTACCAGAGGAGTCACTGTCCAACAAAGGTGCCCAGTTAGAAACTTTCCCCTGCATAAACAACCATCCCTTTTCAACCTGAGCTTTCAATGTCACCCCAAAGCTGTTTGGCTTCCATGTGTAGAGGAAGCAACAGGCAGGATCCCCTTCTGAACTATTAATATCAAAGCAGCAATAAATCTGACAGTGTGGGGACACAATCTGTCAAACAAGGGTGGGGAGCCAGCCAATAACCTGCTGAGTTATTTGCCTTTTTTGCTCATGAAAATGAGGGTCTGTGTCCAAATTTTAGAGCCCTGAATGGGGATGGAAGCAGCCAGACAAGAGGAGAGCAGGTTCACAGCTGAGTGATGCCAATCAGAAGGGTCCCTCCTGGATTATTTCCCATCCCTGTTCCCCACCCTCCCTGAAGCTTATTCATGAATCCTGATGTCACTTCTCTTAATATCTTAACACTGTCATTTTTCAAGCTCCTAATGAGAAGTGAGACAGCAGAAATGTAATCTCTTCACACTTACTCTAACATATCCACACATTAATTTCCTGTTTAATCGATTACAATACTTCTCACAAAAGCAATTTTTTTCCAGGGAAATGCATAAAGCCAGAAAGATTTCCCTAAACACTCGGAGCAAGCCATACATTTGGCAAGTTTAGTCCTTCAATAGATGCTTGAGAAGAATGAAAGTGATGCTTCAAACTTAATTGGAAAAAAAAAAAAAAAAGACATATACTACGGGGAGATTTAA